TTTTTTTTTTTTTTTTCAATTTTAAAATTAAAAACTCATTGTATAGGACAAGTTGAAATAAAATATATTATTCCAAATTTTCGATCAATTTTATCTTATTACTTTTCTTTCTATTTTACTGTAATGGATCATGCACATGATCTATTATTTTGTTATATTGTGTTATATGGGGTGGGGTAGATGGGAGCGTGCAATGCAACGATTCGTTTTCTTCTTCTTTTTTTAAAATTAATTCTTATTTTTGTGAAATGTGTGCTTTTATATATATATTTTGCTTACAATAATAAGCAAAGTTTTGTAAAATAATAATTATTATAATTAATTCCTGGCTTTTTGCTTGAAACTTTCTTGTTTTGTAACTTAATTGTAATTTAATTTATGATCTTTGTCTATTATTTTTTTTTATTTTTTTTTGCCTGACAAACATTAGGTTAACAATAGGCCTAAAAGTTGTTTAAAAAAAAAAAAACAACAAAAAAACACCTCAAAATAGAACACATTTTTCAAATAGCCTAATAAAATATAATGGTTTTATTCGGTGTTTTTTTTTTGTTGTTTTTTTTTGTGGAAAAAAAAGGGGGGGGGGGGCTAGAAATGTTATATAACATTTGACTGGGTGGTCAGTGGAAATAATGTTATAAATTTAAATAAATCACATTATAAGGGCTGGGGCGTGAACCACTAGAGTAGTAGTTCTAGTAGGTCATGGCTGGGGTGGGTAAAAAAAACAACTTTTGTGTTACACAAACTGTGCAAGGTCTGTAAGCCGCAACGTAAATGCCGATAATAATTTTAAGTTGTTTTAAAAATAATCGGATGAATACAATAAATACTCTTTTGTCTTTGAAGGGTATATAAGCCTTAGCAAGACCTCTTTATCAGGAAAGGTATAAATCGTGTAAAAAGAATTGTAAACCTAGTTGCTTCCCCTAGAGATAGAGATCATAACTAAATTAGTAATACTTAGTAATAGTAGTAGTAGTAGTAGTAGCAATAAACAGTAAAACAGGTTTGTAGATTTTATTATTACCATTTCTTTATTACTGCATATGCAGTTTGATAGAAAAAGTTAAGAATAATTATTTTTTGCATATAACAGCTAATTTAATAATATTAATAAGTTAATTAATGTCTAATAGGCTAATAGACTAATAGGCCTACTAAAAGTAAAAGTAAAAGTAAACTAAACCAGTCGAGAGCTAGGCTTACTTACTGATGAACTAATACTTACTTAGATTTAGTCTTTGTGCACTCGCTGTCGAGTATCATCAGTCATGACAATAACAGTTTAATATGTTTACCCCTAGTACTGGGTTAGTGCCAGAGTACTGAGAGTAGTATTCATTATTCAGCTCTCAAAAACAGTTTCAAGCTCCAAAGAGTAGTTTGGACAATCAGTGTGGGGGAAAGGGGGAGGGGGGGGGGCTGGCTTGCAAACAAAATACACGTTGTGTTGTAGTTGTTTCAGGAAATCCACTCAAAACTAATCTTAATATGTAAGATAACACATAAGTAAATATACATTATACAGGATATGACATGTTCTCCGATTATTTCTTAAGGATGAGAAAAGGTCTGACACAAGTTCAAAAGGCACTGACTGTACATACTTGCTTGACTGATACTGATAGGCATTTTTTGCTAAAATTCATAACCATTGCAACACAACAGGTTTTTGTTATTGGTAATATGAATACTAGTAAGAATTTGTAAAATTAAAAACATTATTGAAACACAAGAACAAAAATTAACCAAAAAATATGTATACACATATACATATTTATTAAAATTCCTACCAAGAGCGCACATTTTTCATCAGTTTACTTTTTACCAAATCCACATTTTTTGCCTTGAGTTCAAAGTCCTGAAAAACTTAAGCAAAAAATGTGTCTAGTCTCTTTGGGATTCAGAACATGTATTTAACTACCCTAGGTAGAGAACATCTTTTCATATATAAAGGCAATGTCTTTTTCTTGCGAGGAAAATGATCAGTTTGAGTAAAATCACTTCAGTGTCTATAAAATCTCTGTAATCTGGGTTTCATATTTGGGCAGCTCTCTAAATTGAGAGCTTGACTGCTAAGTTCTAGAAGTAGACACCTGAAGTGGATGATAAAGATGATTGACTTTTCTTAAACATTTTTGCCTCCATATGGCACATGGGGACTATCCTGCAAATATGTTTGATATCAATAAATCTAGTAGAGTGTAGCAGTGATGAATTGTTTAACATTGATTACTCATAACCATCATCAGTATTTAAAGGTGCTTGCTGTTGGGAATTATTTTATTAACCCAAGATCCTGAATATTGAAACAAAAATAGAATTAATAGATTATTTTCATTTTAGGTGCATAGAGGGTCATATATTACACAGACTATTGTATCATTTATACCAGTATTAATATGGTAGAGATACTAAAACAGGCTTAAGCAGTGACATAGGACTGAGCCAACGAAGTGTGGAAGAAGGGGTATTAAAAACATTTCAATCAAGGAAAATTAAAATGGTGGTATTCAGCGTTAGTTTTGTACTACTATTAGTTAACTACGAAAAAAAAAATGTAATAAAATAACTTAGGCCTTTAATTAGATGTTATATTGTAAATTTTAAAAAAAGGCTCTGTTACTAAGTTAAATTGCTGCCACGTATCATATGGTAAATTTAAAAATCAAATTCCTCTACTTTGATCATAATCATAGCATAGGGTAGAACTACGACTCATCATTCAAATTGGTATTTTTATAAACATCATGCTTACCGTAGGACCATAGTCAAAGACTTAGAAATAGACAATAGATGGATTATTTTTAATTTTATTTTTAGTCATCGGACACATAGTTGACATAAACATAATTTTCTTCTATTTACAATGGCTAAATAACAATCAAAAGCTAGAAAAACTATGTTTAAATAATTATTGGCTTTAATAAAGTAATTGTACACTTTACCTCCCACTAAATATGTTGAAAGGGGAGTTGAGCAGAAAAAAACTTCCAGGGCATTACAATATGATTTCTTTTGCTTTAAATATGAAAACATCCGGAACTTGGAAAGTGCTTGCACAATAAAGGGGAAACCACTTAAACATTGAGACCAACTCCAAACAATAAGCAACAGAGACATTGAGACCAAATGCAATCAATAAGCAACAGTACGGCTAAAAATATACAACACATTGTATTGAAACAACGCAATTCCCCAAAAGACAAAATATTCTGGTTGGTTCATTGAGATCGAGACAGCAAATGCTAATCAGTGTTATTCTTGTTAGATTATTTACGATGTTAGCACAAAAAATGCATCTGTCAGAACTACTATTGAAAATATATTTTCCAGTAGCTTTTATGATTAAAAAAAAATAATAATATAAAGTTTCGGTCATTAATTTTAGCTCCTCTCTACATCTGGCGGTGAATAGACAGAAAAATATGATGTGTTGAAACCATCCATAATTTTATTAAATTCAACTAAGGGGGGAAAAGGGGGAGGGGGGTGTTGCAAAAATGGAGAAAATTGCAGATTTAAAATAAATTTACACAGTAGTGTTAGAGTTTGACATATGTTACAATATTTAGAAATATTTTAAATCTATATTTAGAAATCACTACGCAGCTTTACAATTTTAATACACCTGTCTGGTTCTAGCATGCCTCTTTCTTTCTCAGAAAGCAGCTTGCGATAGTTAGCAGTTATTGTAATACAATATGTTAACGGAAAATAAAATCAGGCTCCTAGGCATAATGCAGGGATGACCAACCAAGGGCCCCTCCATGTTAAATATCGTGGCAAGGAGGATTTATCACTAATGTACACATTTCTTTACCCAATTAGTGATTATTTTCATTCTTTGCATAAACATACATTTGATATATAGGTACTTCACCTTTGGGTGACAGTATGCCCACCATTTCAGTGGGTGTCCCTTGTTTGAACTGAGTTTTTAAAAAAATATATGAAAATACGTCATCTTAAAGAAAAATTGTTAAACCCTTTTACTATTTGGTAACTTCTAAATTTAAAGGATTTAGGTAACCAAATTTTCCAATTAAGTGTAGAATGATGCAAAACTATATTCAGGTATGTGCAAAAATGCATTCCTGCATTTTGAATTTATAAAAAAAATTCTGGGGAGCTGCTCAGTCCCTCCCCTAACCCCATCTCTACTTTTGCTCAGGTGGCTTCAGCGGGCATTCTCGATTTCTGCTCCATCACCTCATCTTGGTCTAACAAAAGGGCAACAATGGGAACCTTTTTATTTGCAAATAAAGCACTGTAGATATAAATTCCATCACCTCATTTTGGAAGTTACACTTTTTTAGACATGCAATGTGATACATTATACTGTTTATTTATTTAGTTTCTATTACGATAAGGTATTGTATGCTTTTGAGATGGTAAAGTACTATTCTGAGACGATATTGTATTATTTTGGGAGTTCCAGGGTAATTAGGTCTGCCATTGTTCATCCTTCGCATGTGAATATGACCAAGGCGTTATTCAATAGTGAGTACACAGATGTCCTGGCAGTCCAATTTGTGCTTAGAGAGCTTTCCTGCATGAAGACACACGTTGTTTTGGGTCCTAGTTAGGATTTAGTCGCTTTTGCTTTTCTGTAGGCGTGAGCAGTGTGCTTATTCTCTGAGGATTGTGTTCCAACAATGAGTCTGCCACGCCAGCTTGTATGATGCAAGTGTTTCCCACGAATCAAGGTCAATGTCCATGGGTTTGTGTGAAGCTTTTAGACAGTCCCTGAAGTGTTTTTTCTGCCCACCATCTGAGCATTGCCCTCTGGTGAGTTCAGAGAACATTAGTTGTTTGGAAAGTCTGCTGTCTGGCATTCTTGCAACATGCCTTGCCCATCTGGCTCGTCATTTGTGTAGGAGTTAGTGGATGCTGATAAAGTCAGCCCATTCAAGGACCTCTGTATCAGGGGCTTTGTCCTGCCACCTCATGCCAAGAAGTTTACACAGTCAGCATAGGTGGAGATAGTTTAGCTGTCTGCTGTACACTGTCCAGCGTATAGGAGAGATGTTACTACAATGGCTCTATATACTTTCAGCTTAGTGACAAGTCTGAATCGCCTTTGCTAATTAAGACTCTTGCTGAGCCTTCCAAATGCAACATTTGCTTTGGAAATTCTGTTGGTGATCTCATCGTCTATTGTTATTGCCTGGAGATGTTGCTGCTCAAATATATGAATTTTTCCACTGCTTGGAGATTCTATACCTTCACTGATATTTTAGTTTCTTTTCCTGGAGCTCACTTGTGCAAAATCTCTGTTTTTATCTAATTCAGACTCATTGAGATAAAATGTGTTTATATATAATTTACTCTTTTCAGAACAGTTTGCTCATAGTGAAATATCCCATTCCAAATTCCATGGCGACCAATCACCCTACAAAAGATGAAGTGGATGTGGAAGATACCAAGAGTTTTGATCAAATCGCTATTGCACCTCATAAGCTTAAATACATTAATCCAAGACATAAAAAGGTGATGGAGTACATCTAAAAAATGCCTGTTATACTTTTGGAAATGATGATTTATTTTATTTTGTGACTTAAAAGACACTTATTTGAAGAAATTAATTTTGAAAAAAATTATTAGTACAGTATTTTTAAAAACTTTACTGGTAATTAAAAAAATAATAATAATTTTGTGTTAACGTTTTTAAAAAGTTTAAATCATAGAAACAAAATTAAATATTAAACTCTGTATTAGGTGCATGCCATCATGTATGACTACAAATGCGATATCAAACTGAGAGTGAGTAATGCAAATTTCAAGGCACACAGAGAGGTCAGTTGTTTAAAAATCACTACAATATATAATATGCAGGGCAGCCTATGAAACAATTAATTTTATAAATAAAAATGTTGTTTATCACACAAAATTTGATTTAATAACATTTATTCCTGTAGCTGAACCGGTGTTAATGAAGGAAATCGTTGAAGAACATTTTTTATGCCAATGCTGCTAGAAAGTCATAACAGCTTTCATATCTTTTCATTTTTTATTTATTGTCAATAGAATTTAGCTTAGTGAAAACATTTGTTTTTGGACCTTACCTAAGAACAACCTGAACTGAGATTATAGAGGGAAAGGCTAATATCTGCAGTTCTGTTTTTGTAAGGTTCACTATTTTGTTTCTTATTTTACTCTTTGTTAATATTTGGGTGTCATTGTTAAAGGTTTGATTTGTCAAGAATCCAATAAAACTTTTAATGCTTAATTTATATTTCCAGGTATTATCGCAGGCCAGTGACTATTTTTCTGCTATGTTCAGCCACGATATGTTGGAGAAAGAGAGAGATGTTATAGAACTGTTAGAGATGTCTCCAAACGGTTTTGCTTTGATTCTAGACTACTTCTATCACGGGCACGTTACAATAGATCAAGATTCAATAGAGGATGTTCTGGAAGCGGCCAGGTTTTTTCAGGTTGGTAAACATTTTTCTACATAGCCAACAATCTTTTTTTTTTTAATCAGGTGCCTGTAGTTATTAAATTTAGCATTTACAGTTGAACCCACTGATCCCGACCTCGCTTATCTCGCCAACCCTTTTATGTTGAAGTTTTTGAAGTGGAACAGCAAAATTCTCTCTTTGTCTTAGCATTTTCTCATCAGTTTTGTCGATTCTTTTATGTCGCCGAACCCTAATATCTCGAGCACAAAAGGGGGCCAAATTTGCCACTTAATGTCAGATATCTCGATCGCCATGACCAATCGTGGGCTTTTGAACTCAGCAAGAAGAAATAGCAAACAGCAAATAAACAAGTATTGCATAATAACAAATAATGATTTATTTCTCAAAATACAGGAGTGAAAGAATCCTTATATTGGGTATTATTTGGAATCGCGAAAATTTCAAAAGCAACCAAACCTTTCAATTGCCTGTAATTTTAAGCAAAATTTCGTATTTTCCTGACCTACTTCGTGTATCACCTGATTTGGCCCTGATCTTTGATTAAAATAAGCATTTTGATTGGTTCCTGTGTCGGAATTCTGTTTTTAATAACTTCTTCCAAGAGCTGCATCAAAAAAAACAAAAACATGTGCATGTACATTCTTATTTCTTTACGCCACATTATGTACATAAAGAAATTTCAAGCACAAGTTAATATATTGCCGCCATATTGGTTTTATTTTATCTCGATCATCGGTTATCTGGAGGCTTTTTGAGAAATCCCTAAGCTGGCGACATAACCGGGTTCAACTGTGAATAACTTTTTGGTGAAATCTAACATCTTATTATATCCATATGTCTTTTACAAACAAAGATATAATTACACGTTTCCAAATTAGCCTCATGAATGGAAATAAAGTTTTGTAATTTTGGGTGCATACATTTATAACTCATTGTTTTTTCAGTTAAATTTTTCTTTCATCCACAAACAGGTTGACTGGGTTGTTGAGGTTTGCTGTGACTATTTGATTCACCAGCTGAGCATTGACAACTATCAAACTGTCCTTCAGCTGGCAGATAAATATCTGCTTGGGGATCTACGTGGGGATATCTTCCATTTCTTGGGCCTCAATGTCTTGAAGCTGGCAGAGGAGGAAGATTTTTATCTCAATTTTGACCTGGAGCTTCTGACAAAGTTTCTAAAAGAAGATGTCTACATTGAAGCTGACGAAGAATTTATTTTGGAGCTCATAAGCAAGCAAGTTTTAATCTAGCAAATATTTTTTTGAGCTACATGATAATTAAACTTTTAATATATTCTTATTCAGCTCTACAGTGAGTATAACATTATGGGCCATCCATAAATGACGTCAGGGGGGGGGGGTGGTGGTGTCAGATTTTCGTGACGATGTGTGATGAGGGGGAGGGGGGCGCTCAAGCCATGTGACGTCCAATGAAAAGCAGAATGTTGTAGTAAAGAATTGCACTTAGTAACACTAATCTAGCAAATATTTTTTTGAGCTACATGATAATTAAACTTTTAATATATTCTTATTCAGCTCTACAGTGAGTATAACATTATGGGCCATCCATAAATGACGTCAGGGGGGGGGGTGGTGGTGTCAGATTTTCGTGACGATGTGTGATGAGGGGGAGGGGGGCGCTCAAGCCATGTGACGTCACATGAAAAGCAGAATGTTGTAGTAAAGAATTGCACTTAGTAACACTAAATTAAAGACTTTTTAAACATTATTTTTTAAAAAACACAATTTTAATTATTTTATTTTAAAACTACTATCACTGAGAGAATCTGTACATTAGGTATGCGAGGTCCAAAGAATGGCCTCTGATCAAGTTACAGGGCGCCCAGTAGTAGGAGAATCGGAAGGTAGTTACATCTGGCTAAATCTAGACACTGGAAATGGGATGGAGCGGGGAAAAAAGGTTGACCTCGGGATGGGGGGTATCTTAGTAAATGCTCTAGGGCAGGGATTCTTAACCTTTTTTGCAGCGTTGCAGCCCCACTCCATTTTAAACATCCCTCCCCCAACCGTATAAATTATTTTTTAATAAAATTTAAAATAATTAAATAATTAATTTATCTTAGTTCTATTTCTTTAATTAACTTTTTATAAACAGGGGAAAAATTTACCAATACACACAATGCGTCAATGAAATTCAGCATTGACTGCTTTTAATCAAATCCATAAAAACTTTTCTTTTTTTTTTTAAAGCAGCAACAACTAGCAATTGCAGCAAATAGTATCAGTGCCGTAGCTAGGGCTGGTGTCACCCGGTCCGGTAAGCTCGTGGTGTCTACCCCCTCCCCTTTTTACGATGTATTTCTTCTTGTTAAACTTAGTCCACAGTATAAGAAATTCAAGAACAAAAACAAATTAATTGAAGGTCAGGGGGTAAATGTATTTAAGAACTGCAACGTTCTTAGAATCGCCCATTGTTATCAAAGGATAGTTGTATTTCTCAGAATTTAGATAAAAATAGCTTCCTGCCACTTACAAAAGTTGCCGAACACTTCCTTCGGTGATGAAACATGGTCAAAACAGTGTGTTTCTGACCTAATAATAAGGTAATCTAATTGCTGACGCATCAACCTTGAAATTTTAATATTAACGAAACACACATTTTGATTGGTTACATGGGTGGAAAATGTACGTGTCATCTGTTATCCTTTTATTAATTTTGATTAGACTGATCAGTGTGTGCTCTGTAATTACGCTATCTTTCAATTTGGTGTCACCCCCTGAGATGTTGTCGGCCGGTGCGGTCCGCGCCCCCCTAGCTATGCCACTGAATACGATTTTTTAATCTTCCTCACTTCAAAACTGGGGAGGTTCTTGTACCCCTGGTTAAGAACCACTGATCTAGTGAAATGTTTCTGACACGGGTGCAGTAATTTGATATCCATGGGAGGCGAATTTCTTAAGGGTTTGTAAAGGACAGTAGTGGACACAGGGATTTATGGGGGGGGGGGCGGCGCAGAGATTTGTAACGTTATATTTGAGGCGGGGTCTAACTTTTTGTGACGATTTGTAACGATGGGGGGAGGCGGGGGGATAAAAAATCTGCAAAATTTGCGTGACGTCATTTATGGATGGCCCCTTTTCCCAAGTTTATTATTTTTTTCAACAGTATTGAGAAGTTGGATTTGTATTTTCTTTAGAGATACTTGCATCAAATAATATGAACAACCAATGATAATTGAATGCTTTGCTAGATTTGTAGAATTATTTATTTAGAATATATGATAAGACACAATACTGATGTAAAGACATAATACTGACATAAAGACATGGTACCAGTTTCAGTTTATGAAATTCAGATCAATGCTTTTTTTTTTAAACGAATTTGCATTACTTAAAACTATTGGGGGCTTTGCATAAAAAAAGGCATGCAGTTTTGTGGTTTTAATATTACCATTGTCATTTCACTTTCAGGTGGGTGGCTGCTAAGAAAGAAGAGAGACAGGAGTTTTATTTGCCTCTTCTACGATTGGTCAGATTCCCTCTGATGGATGCTGACTCGCTGGAGGGCATACAACAAGAGCTGTTAAAGTGGCCAGAGGTGCAAGATGCCATAGAGGAGGCCAAACATTACAACAATAATATTCCTGCTCAAAGTCTATTTAAGGGTTAGTTGATTTCATAAGTCAAATATTCCAAGGATAGACATTTTGTAAATTTTCTTGTTCTGTCATTATATAGCATTAGATTATTTTGTTTTTGTGAATAACCGTGAGTCCTAAACATCTTTTTTTGGGGTAAATTTTTACAGGTCAGCAGTTCAAATGCAGAGGGTCACGCTCCAGCATAGTCTTGCTCACCTTCTCTACTGAGGTGTGCGCTGTTTCTTATCAGGATACTGCAACCAGGGTCCACTGCCATGAAGAGCTTGCTAGTTCAGGCACTGAGACAGACTTTGACTCTTCAAGTATTGCTAAAGTGGGAAACTTTTTATACCGATCTGGGGGATACGATACCAATGTATGTAGCAGTGCCTCGGTGTACCGCTACAACCCTAGATACAGAAACTGGATTGAACTAGCCAGCATGAATCACCCAAGAGTTTCTCACGCAATGTGTGCGTCTGAGGATAAAATCTATGTCTTTGGTGGGATAGACCACACCATTGGAGAGTTTGGAGATGAAGATACTATATTAAACTCTGTTGAAGTGTATGATGTGCGTGAAAATCAATGGCAGAATCTCCAAGAATTGCCCACTGGATCCTACAATCAGGCCGCTGCATACGATGACAACTGTCTTTACTTGAGTGGAGGTATTAGTGCGGATCCATTCGACAATGTTCCGATGCAATGCCTTTGGCAGTTTAATATGGATCTGGGGAACTGGAGAAATCGCAGGGACATGATTTACCATAGACAGGGACATTCAATGACTGCATACAACGGGAAGCTCTATGTGTTTGGTGGGTATACGCAATCTGATGGTGTTGCTGGCCAAGTTTTTAGGGATTGTTTCAATTCAGAAGTTCATGACATTGAGACCAACCAGTGGACAGAAATTCGACCCCTCCCAGAAACATTTGGACATGTCATGAGGAGTGTTGCCCTCTGGGATGGAACATTTTTCTTGTTTGGCAATGGCTGCTTGCACTCATACAATGTTGAAGAGGACAAAATGCAGTATGGCGATAACATAGGTACATCTGTACAGAAAATTGCTTTATTGGAAGTAGCTTATCCTATTTAGTTCCATTTTTAGTTTAGAAAAAAGAATTGGTGTCTCTCTTTATGCATCAACTGTTAGTTTTTAGGAGATGTATTTATTTATACCGTCGCTAGATTTTATACGTTTACATTTTTCATAACTGCTTTTAAAAACAAGAAAGATAAAGTCGTTTAGAAACAAATAACCAATTAAATGCGAGAAATATTTCTATCAATCATATACTACTCTTTTTGCATATCTTTTTCTTGATTTTTTATATTACTGATAAGAAGCAAAGATCACTAGCACTGTTTATGTTTAAATTATACGAAACATTCCATGATCATTCCATTTTGGTTGTGATGTCTCATGGTTTCCAAAAAATGAGATGATTTTATTATATGTCAACCTTTTTCTTTTTAAAATCACAAATTTATTCCACTCCCACCTGAGAATAACAGAATTTATAAAACCGAGGTGATTTTTTTTAATACTGGTTTTTAAAAAAACTTGTTTAAAATTTGAAAGCTACCCTTAATTTTTTGTGTTTGTTGTTATTACATTAATGTATCACAACTTTATACATTTTATACTTATAGACGACTCACCTTGTTCATATTTCATGCTTGAGTAACTCCAATGTACATTCATGTCTACCTTAGTTAGTAACGTAACTGGTACATAAGGATTTTTAGAAGATCTCATTTTTTAAATCTTAGGTCTATCCTTTTTACAGATGATGAACAAGTAACTGTTAATACCATTTAATGGCATTTAGATTAATGTGATTTAACTTTATTTTTTAATAATGTACCATTGTTTCACATTAATTACTCTCATTATATAAATTAACCAAAGGAATATTTAAAACGATTTTTGTTATCATCATTCAAATATTTCCTTTTCTCTTTGGTCTCGTCATGGGATTCATGCTAACATTTAAAAGGAATAAGATATAAATCAAGGCAAAGTATACAATTTAATTAACAAATAAAAATAAATAATGAATGTTTGAGAAGTAAAGTTCCTGATATGGAACAACAGATGGCCTGAACCATATTAGTTAATTATTATAAAAATAAAAACTTTTTGTTAATTTAATCATTTAAAGTTATTTCATATTAATTCGAAACAAAAATCTTGATTACCAGTATTAAACATTGTTGAGTATATAAATAGTGATTTATAATGAAATGATAAAATAAGTAAGCACAAAATTTATTCATCTCTATTTATTCTGTTGCCTTTGAGTAGCAACCTAAAAAATAACTAAATAAGTTAAAATAATATGGTATATCAATGATTTGTTGTGTGCTTAATAATGACAGTGCTTCCTGGGCCACTCCATATGCAAAGACGTTTTGAAATCCACCTATTGAATGTTGCTGAGTTAGATCATTGATTTCTTTGTCTCTAAATCAGTCATATTCAGATTTTTTTACTTAAAATTTCTTATGTGTAAAAAAAACCTCAGGACTCATCTGCAGAAGAAAAGATCTTACATTTTTGTCCTTGAAAGAGAGACATTATAATGGTGAATTTATTCTCATTTTGAAAGTGCATTTATTTTCTGTTATGTCAGCTAGTCTCTATCAAAGACAATGGGGGAAAACATACTCAGCAGGAGCCAGTGTGCTGCTTTGGAGGATGGGGAGGTTGGGTCATAGGGGATTCCCTACCCTGGCCAAAAAAAAAAAAAAAAAAAATCCTAATAGCTCAGTGTGTTTTGCCATCCCCACTGGTTAAAAAAAAACAGTTTTTAACACTAATAAAAATGAAATATTGAAATAACGTGTAAAAGATTGTAAATTTAATTTTGAATGAATGAGATTTAACCCCATTTTATTTTGTATTATTATATTATCTGTATTAGAGCCATTAGTTAAAGCATTTCAAAATGTTATATTGTTGATCCTAGTTATGCAATGATAATAATTGGCTTAGATTTTTCCAAATAATAACTTTTTTAATTGAATGGAATATTTTGCAGTTATGTTATTTTGGGGACAATGTGAAAACTATACGTGGAGTATATTTGAGGACTCTCCATTAATTAATTTCTTATCGATTTATCAGGATTTTCTAAGTTAGTTTAGAAGCCGACATAGTTTAGTGAGGATTGATGGATTGTGCCTGAATCTCTATCATTGGTAGTGGAACTCTATAATTGGTAGTGGAGCTCTATCATTGGTAGCTTAAAACAACAAAGAACAGCAAGCAATATGAGGACTTTTATTTATCTTGGTGATTTTTTAAATATTCCATTCCTTTTGATCATTATAAATGGTAGTTTGCTGACTAAAGAGCCTGCTTGCTTATCGTCAGTTGGTAACTAATACTTTGTCTACGTTTAAATTTTTTGCTTTTTTTTTTTTAATCTGCTATTATATACACACTATCTTTAAGATATCTTAAATGTAGCTTACCCTCTTTAAAAAAAACTATAAATTCCCCATGTAATCAATAAAATATGACCAAAGCCACCTTATAATATATTTTTTTAATATAATGTTTGTTCAAATTTGTTATTACTTCACATTTAACTTTCAAATCATATAAAGAGTTCCCCTGGGTAAGGTTACCAGCAGATTTTTATAAAATACTTCTTTTTATATTTTATTTTGCTCCAAATTTGAAATCTTATTTTTTTAAATATACAAATCACCTTTTAATTTTTTTAATGAATTTAAGAATTAAACAAAAAAAAAAGTCTTTGTGAATCAGCTTCGTGTTACCTATTCCATCACATCTTTGTGATTGTGTACAGTGAACATAAATCGCTTTAAAGATCTTTGGACTTGCGGACTAAATGATAAATTCTACATTGTCTTAACATTTTATGTAAATTATCAGAGTATATCACATTTTATACAATTTCTTAAAAGTGTTGGAGTAAATCTTAATTTTTACTACAGAAACTTCTTGTTGGATTTTAAACTTACAATACAGAAAAAAAGTAATACAACTGCTGGGTTTCTGAGTTATTTACATGTAAAGAATCATTTTATAGAAAAACCTTTGCACTAGTTTCCTTCTTTACTTCACTGTAATAGTGATATTTTGTTGGCAGTTTAGGAAAGAGCTTCCATAATTATTCCATTGTAACATTTTATCTATTTTAAATGGTGTTCATAATCTCAAGAAAAAATAATTTCGAGGCAAGTTTTACATTGACATTTTGAAGTAAAGCAGATCTGTGTTGAGATTTGATACCAATTTCTTGTGCTTAAAAATATAGCTTATGGGGAATTGAAAATGTCTTTGTTTTATTCATACAGAGGGATATTTATTCTTGGAAGTATTTTTTTTTAAATTTGAATATTTAACTTACTGCACCCCTCTGACTTTGTCTTTCATCTTTCCTGGAATAAAATTTATTTGAAATTTTGATCTTTTTGTTCATGTTTTACTTTGTGTACAAAAAAAAAAATTAGCTTTTCTCAATTAATTCTTTACAACACAGTTCTAAAAAATATGTTACTTTTAATTATATTATTTGATTCAGAATATTACTTCAAATCATTTAAATTAGCTTACCTATTTGAAACTACAAGTATTCTCTCATTTGTATAGAAGCATTTAGAAGTTCATTTTAATTTTAAGAGAGACAAATCTTTAAAAAATAAATTTAAATCATTTTGTTTTTAAAAATATAAGTTGTAATCTTTTTAAGTAACATTGCATTTTCTATCAAACAGTTCAACCTAAAAGGGTGAACAATGATCAATTATAAAATAATTTTTTAAATATTTGAGGAATAATAAATTGAATAAATATTCAAACTGTTCAGTGTTTTTTGAAGTTCTTAAAATAAACTGTCAGCTTGACATAGAAATTAGCACATATTTCCAGTCAGTTATACGATTTTGTTTTTAAAAAAAAGCAATAATTTTGTACCTCTTTTGTCTCAGTATTGAAAACCAATTTTTACAATGCAACTACAAATGAACCAATAATTTATAATACATCGATTATTAAATGAAACAACCGATTTATCATGTGGGAATATAGCCAGGAACAGCTGGGACACCAGCCTTAGCTTTGCAAATTGCAAAACCAGGACTATGCTTAGAAATGGATAAATCAGCGACTGTCAAACTTGTTATCTTGATGATGTCATAGTCATAGTAATCCAGACAACCCTCCATCCTCCCAGTGCAGTCTTAAGGCATGGGCACACTGGGCAGTTGCCCAGGTCCTCACGCTTCTAGGTGACCTCGTGCTTCTAAAGGCTTTATGCTTCCCATTGTAAATAAAGGTGGAGAAATCTTTTTGGCAATTAATTTGCTTTCTTTCAAAGTGCAGTGGGAAGGACTTTATCAAAGCTATTGTGAACAATTTTTTTTAGGCCTATAAATGAAGTAGTTCTAACAGAAAAATTGTTTGAATTAAAAATAATAGTAAAGTAACATTTTTATAAATGTTTCCAGGTCATGTGTCACCTATGTTACTTGAAAAATAATTTTAGAATGAGACAAAAAAAAATAATTCAAGTGTGCGCCAAAATGAATACCTGCATAACTGCAGTTCAAATTTATCAAAAAGTTTTTGGGGACCTACAGGGTTGGCCAATAAAAGTGAGAACATTTCATAGCGTAATATTTTACGAGATGTTCTCACTTTTTTTGGCCCACCCTGTATATAATTTTACTTTATATATATATATATATATATATAAACGTTATACATACACATATAATATTTAAAAAAAATAATATTTAAATGTATATCTTTATTTTTTTTTCCTGGCATTCGTCATCGTGTAGACTTTGAAGGACAAAATCAAAAGGCCTGGGATTTTTCTTTAGGAGGATAAACAAGTTCCCTAGACAGCAAATCACCTCTTTACATGCACCTGGATAACCCAATATATGTGGATGATTACAGCCTGATACCAGTAGTGTTGCAGGAGTTATTGGAGTTTTCATTGTGTCTAAAGTTATCCACCTATAAGACCTCATCTCTGGGTTTGAATTCAGAGGCCACAAAAGCTTACCCATAGGAAGCACCATAACAAGAATAAATGTATGTTTATGTGTGTTGGGGGAGATTTTGGTGCCTAATTTTGGTGCTGATAGATGCTTGCCCCACCCCCCCCCCCCCACCCAATCCCTTTTCACTGAAATTGTCTGAAAAAAGCACTGGTTGTAATGCATGAACCAACCTGGGCCCCAAAGACTTTTCTTAACATTACTTGAATATATTATGGAGGAATGGGGGCCTCACTGAATTACCTTGCCCAGGACCCCCATTGCTGTTAAGACTGCCCTGCCTCCTCCCCAAGGTGTGTTTAAATTGTTATAATTTAAAACTGTGCTGAAAATGAATATATACAATGTAATGAAAACAAATTACATTTATTTGGATCAATAAAAGAATCTTATCTTATCTTAACCATAAAGAGCTAAAGTAGATTAATAAGACCCCAAAAATGTTTGTAAGTAAAACATTATGGTTAACTTTATTTATTGAAAATATAATAATCATGGTACATAATAATTTATTAAAGATTAATTCAATTAAACAAGCCATATTAAATTATCTTTTTACAATTATATTCAACTGAAAGATATTCTTAATTTTATTATGTGTCAGTTTTGGTAGGTAAAAACCAATCTCTTTACAGTCTTAAATAAAGCTCAATACTCAATGGATCACCCTCCATGTTCTTAAATATAAATCTTATTATATATTCTTTTATATCTTTTTTTCTTAGTGAAAGAAAAAATTGTGGCTCCAATATATTATTTTTGTCCTTAACACAATGCCGGTTAGTTAAGAGATTATCTAATAACAGTAGGTCATACGTATAGATAGTTAATTTAAACGGTTTTTTTTTTTTTAAAAAGAATTTGTTTACAAACATGGCGACTACCAGTCAACCTTTCAAACAATTTTCTTGTTCGTCCTGTGACTTTGTCATAGATTATCATTATAAAGGTAGAAAACCTGCTTTCGCAAAGTGTATTTTGTAAGTAACTCCGTATATTTCTTTTTAATTGGCTCAAAGAGTTCATAATTTGTAAGTTTTTTCTTCTTCTTCTTCTATTAGTAAATATAATTATAATAAAGGGCCCACGATCAATTTATTGATCATTTTGTTACCAAAATAAATTATTAAAATAAAACGGGCTGTATAGTAATAATAGTATGTATTAGTATTAGAATACTATATTATAATTTAAATGGGTATAAATGATAGTTAAGTATATAATGATAGTATAGTTAAGTTTAGTCAGCAAGCAAATTCGACTTTTTCTTTTAAATATAAAATGTGGCAATATAGGCCTAACCAATATCCACACTGTCCACACATACACTGTCAAATACAACTAGTTAAAATTTGCTTAAATTTACTTAATCCATACCACTTATTTCCCAAGGCCGCCATCTTGGTTGCCATGATGGCACGTATCATGACAACCAAGATGGCGGTGTGCAAAAAACAAACAAAAAAAAGTAGTGCAAACACACATCTGCTAAAATGCTGAGGGGAAAGAGAAAATGTGCAGTTTTAGCTACCTTGGCTAATCCTAGTTACGATTGCCATGACTTGTTTTCCAGGGAGTGACTTCCCTTTGTTTATTTTTACTAAATTATTTTAGGGATTGATTTAGGGTTCAGGTTAGGCATAGGGATCGATTTAGGGTTTCAGGTTAGGCATAGGGATTGATTTAGGGTTTCAGGTTAGGCATAGGGATCTATTTATGGTTCAGGTTAGGCATAGGGATAGATGACTTCACGTGACGTGTTAACCAAGATGGCGGCCATTGAGAAAGTAGTGGCTATCGTAGTCAAAATTTACCGCTACCTACAAAGAGATACTGAAATAGGAACTAAACGTTAAAATTTAATGGTCGTCTCCTTTCCTGGTGTAATTTCAGCCGGTACATTAATTTTGTAGTAAAAGTAGCAACTTCATTGTATCCCTCAAGATATGCGGCAAGAATTGTCAATGACCTGCGTTCTCTCTCTTCCCTCAAATAAAACATGTGTGATACAAAATTTAGTCTTAATTTAAATCTCATTTTCAAAATTATAATTAACCACCCATTGAAATATTAATTTAAAAGATTCCATCGGCATATTAATATTTTTATAAAGACACGTTAACTCTAGTAACAATCCAAGAATAAACAAAAGGGAGAGAATCCTACAGAACCTCAAAATGGCGCAGATTAGGGATATTGACACAAATTGTTAAACAAGTCAGCTGATACTAAATTAATCCTGTTTTTTTTTAACCGCTCCATTTTCTGCGGGTTGCTATGAGCTATGCTACTAACCTGTCAATTGATGACAAAGTATGCACGTTGATTAATATATGATCAGATTGTTTCTGTATATTCCCAGCCCACAATATACTGCAACTCTCAACAAAGCCTTGAAAATTTTACTTGGTAGCATGTGGTCACAGAAAGTTGAAAATGCAAGTAACTAATCTGGAGTGTGAACATACCTTGAGGGTCAAACATAAATGACATCACAATATTTTGGCAAATTTTTACACCCTTCCCCCTTTATTTCCTATAGTCAAAATGGAAAATTATGCACATTCGTTACACATCACCACTAATAATGATGTTAGTGATATGATACTTTTGAAATATAAAAATAAATATATATCCACATACCTTTTGCACTGAAATAATTAAATATAGATCTAAGTCTTTTTACTTACATACACTATAATTATTTTTAAAAGTTTGGTTCTTAAAAAAAATTATTTTCTTTAGTCCCGCATTGCTTCTTCTGGCTTGTTATTTTATGGAGTTGGCTTATAAATGAACGGACTTATGAAGGAGTATATAAGGTACTACTAATAATACAAACAATACGTGTAATTTGATTTACTAATTTAGTGATGATTTTTAGGGGTGTGCCGGACCCCGGTCCGGAATCCGGTTCCGCCGGATTTTGCACTATCCGGTGAAATCCGGTTCCGCCGGATTTACATGTATCCGGAACAACCGGATTCCGGAATATACCGGATTTCGGAATTTGCCAGATTTTGTGACTCACCGGATCATAATCTGAAATAAAAGTAATTCTCTTTCCCGAATTTCACACGATCACGATACATTAATCGATTGTTTCGAGCGTTGAGCTTGTTTAATGTTTAATATTCCGTACATACCAGAGGCTAGAGTCAGCACCGCTAATAGTGGCCAATAGTGTATGGACTTTGATAAGAAAATGTAAACTTTTTGTAAAAATAAACCAATGGCATAGTTGAAAAGATGTAATTTTTTAAAGAATTATAACACCAAAATCATATTTTTAGCTGTTGTAGTTTTAAAGTTATGAATTTTTAAAGTACGACTTGGTTTGTCATTTTTTAACATGGACTGCATCTCCACATTCTGTGATCTCATTCCACCAATCCCGTCATGCGCAATGACTATATAGTTTATATAAGGCAACGCATTCCCTGCCTTATCACTAAAATACTGTTTAGACTTAGTTTAAACTTTCAACTTTGGCACATGAATAATTAATTAAAGCTTTCCCTGACCAATGGTTTAATAGTTTTTGCACACGGCAAACTCTTATGAATGAAACTCTGAGGTAGTACTACGATACAGTTATGCAAGTGGCTGTGAATGGTTGCCAATGACAACGTGTTGCACACGGTAAATTCTGATCATTTATAATATGGATTCTACCGGGTTGTTAAAGCTCAAATTAAAACATTCCAGTTTAAATGTCTTTAAATGCATTCTGAAACACAAGTTATCAATTATTTTGATGTAAATAGTGATAATAAATTAATATTTCCTAAGTATCGTCAACTTCCGCCATTAAAAAGGGGGGCGTGGCCAACCCCATGGCGAAATTAGGTTGAGCGAGCTGCATAACCTGCTGCGAACGCGTAGAAACATGGCGTCTCTCGTAAGACACTTATCCAAATGGAACGGAACTCAAATATATATCGAAAGTACTAATTTAATAATAAATAGACACACACATCGGAAAATTAAAAACTCGGATTTTTTGGCGCCGATTGCGAATTCCCATACACAAAAAGTAGTAGTCCACCTTGACTTACCGAAGTATCTACCAATAGTACCAAAATCCGGAATCCGGGAGAAACCGGTATCCGGATCCGGCGGATTTCGCATAAGAAAATCCGGATCCGGATCCGGTTGGAAAAAACGGATCCGGCACACCCCTAATGATTTTATTTTAAGGTAAATCACATATAATTAAATTTGAATTTATCTTCATATAGATCTCTTCGTGTCTTAATTATTTACTTGTTACTTATAAAAATATATATATAAACTCTTTGATTTCATTTAAATGCTTAATTATATATATAAGAATGAGCTATGCTGACATAACGCCAAAGAACCAAAAATATGTAGGTACGTTCGGATTCTTAAAAACAATTATTGTTATTTTCTGTTATTTTACGGAAATCTAATCAATTTAAATGCGCTAAAAAATATTATATATCCGCTTTCATTTTAGTAAAAGTTTTGGTATTATTATTATAATTTACAAATTACATATAAAGTAACAGCTATAGAACTATTTTAAGCATTTTATCTGAATTTAAAAGTTATTAAAACAATTATTAATTAAAAAAATTATGATCTCAGAATTGCATCAATATCACATTTATGGGGAAACTCCAAACATCTGTTATTTTAGTGCGTTTTTAGTGCGTTGTTAATATTGCGAAATAAAAATAACATTAATGTTATTTAAATAAATATGCAAATGACGTCATAGCGTAAATTGCCTATTTTAGCCATAGCTCTAAATTTCTTGGATTTAATAACCCTGCGTAAAAAACTCATAATGTATTTTCCCCTTCTTAAAAATAAAATTAATAAATATAATTGATTGCTTTTTTAAATTGCAAAAATTTGCTAAAATTAAATACAACTTAAGCTTTGTATTTTCAACATTTAATAGGTTTTTACTTTTTATTCATTCAAAAAAAATAATACGATACTTTCATGTGCACAAGGCAGCACGAGATACACCTCAGAATGAAATTGATAAATAATTAACCTTCTTAGGGGGGTTTGGAAATAGGGTGTGTACATTTTTACGTGGATGAGAATATATTTAAATCCAGTGATATTACAGTTGTGAAAAATAGATGCTATATTCTCATTTTACCAATTAAGAAATCAATGACTTTAACAAAACATAAAAATACATTTAAATAATTATACCCATAAATATCAAAACTTAATCACACGAGTGAAAATTTAATTTTCAAAATAGAGATGGGTTAAGATTTTTTAGATAGATATATAAATAGATGATAGATCGATCGAGAGACAGATAGATAGACAGATTAGATAGAAGGATAAATGGATGTATGGATAATAATAATACTAATAATAATAAAGTTTATTTAAAAAATACACTTCATCCCCAAAGGCTCGAAGCGCGGTACAAAGTTAAAAGAAAAAAACAAACAAACAAACAAAAACTATAATTTACCACATAGATAGATAAGATAGACAGACAGACAGGCACACAGACAGACAGGTAGAATGCTTCCTTGAATTGTTGCGCATAGTATCTTTTATTCGGTAAACTATATCTATACATATAAAAATTCATGTATGTATGTATGTCTCGTATGCGCTCCTATACCATTCATCCGATAGCTAAAAAAACTTTTGTGAGTTGTTGTACACACACCCGCAAATGTTTCTGAAATATCAAACACATCTTACTATATACCGTTTTGGGCCCAGGGCCCTAAATTCTTTTTTTTTCTCCTTTTATGAGCTAAATATAATTTCTCTATGTGTTCCTACACCATTTATCTGATTGCGAAAAACTTTGGTAACTTGTTTTGCATGCGCCTGCAAATGTTTCTGAATTAGGTTATCCATTTTGAAATATTCCTTTTGGGGCCAGGGGCCCTAAATTATTTTTTTCTTATATGAGCTATATAAATATAATTTCAAACAGAGCTATTGCATGGGTGGGCATAGGTGGATGGATTTGAATCAAATACAAGAGACATTTCAGTTTGTCTGTGACATAATAAGTAGGTTTCTGAATTAGTACAACCACTTTACAATTTAATTTAGGGGCCGGGGGGGCCTTGATTTTTTTTTTATTATGTCAGCTATATAAATATAATTTCAAACAGAACTACTGCATGAGTGGATCAATCGCTACAAAGTGTGGGCTAAATTGTGAAAATCCAAGCTTCTCACGTGGACAGCTGTATGTTGCCTGCTCACGTGTCCAAAAAGCGTCTAATTTATTTGTGTACGCACCAGACGGAAAAAACAAAAATATTTTCTATTTAAAAATTACTTTTAAAAAAAGTAATTAAAAAACAAACACATTTTTTCTTTGAGTGGCATTGCAGCTCATGCCAGGTTCTTGCTGGTTAATAATAATCAAATAACTAAAAGGATACACTATGAATTATATGCATGATATATATGAGAATATTTAGAACATTTTGCTTGGCAACATGAACAAAATGTTGATAAGACATGTAATAAATAATGATTAAAGGCTAAGTAGAAGGAAAAACATAGGTGACATATAGCCAAAAAAATATTTTCTTCCTAAAATTTATAGATTGGCAAAAGCTACAAAATCTATCTCTTCAGTTAGACATCTCTCACTATTATAATATAAAAATACTAGAAGATGTTACCTAATGTTACCCATGTAATAAGGGAAAGCAATTTAAACTACACTCTACCTGTTATAGTCTATCAATGAGATGTATTTATTATTTATAAATGTAGTGACTGTGTTGCCTCTGGCAACTTGTGACTAAGCTGAGTAAAAATTTGAATGCATATGTTGTAACTTTTTTTTTTTTGTATTATACAATTAATTTGAGGTGTGTTCTTTTTATCATTAATTAAGTAAAATGAATTTTTAATGATCTTTTTAAAAAAAATTGGTTAAGAGTTTCATTTTTTTTTATCACCAGTACTACCTTAAGTATGTGTAAATAGTAGGACTATGGAAAGGACCCTGACATAATAAAAAAAAAATCAAGGCCCCCCCGGCCCCTAAATTAATTTATATAAATGCATAATCTTAATTGAATAAAAAGAAACTTTAATGTGACCTTTACCTTTACTTGATCATAAAAAAATTATACAATTACAAGAGATAGTAAGAATTTTAAAAATATGCAAATGAGACCACCTAAAATTAAATAACATCTTTTTGTCCACTCTCACAAATTTGTCACAAAATATTGACACCCTTCTAATAATCATCAAAAATTTGTGATGCTCCCCCCCTAGATGAGTGACATCATTTATAGATGGCCCCAAGATCATTGATGCATTATTCTCGAAATAGTACATTCTTTGTTTTCTTTTCTTCTTCCTCTTATGCCTTTTTATCCCATCTGGGCACAAGAATTTTCCATTCATCGTGCTCCTGTGCTTGCCTTTCCAGTTGCTTCCAGGTGTATCCCACATTTTACGTGTCTGGCTCTAGCTCACGTCTCCATGTATTCTTTGGCCTTCCTCTCTTTCTTTTTCCCTGTGGATTCCATGTTAGAGACTGTCTGCTGGTGCTCTTTGGGAGTTTTTGGAGAGTATTCCCTATCCACTTCCATCTTCTCTTTATGATGTCTTCATCAATGGGCACCTGGTAAGTCCTTTCTAGTGATCTTTTTTAGTGATGGTATTTGGCCATTTGATGTTCAGGATCTTTCTAAGGCATATGTTTATGAAGTTCTTTACTTTCTGCATAATGCTCGCTGTTGTTTTCCAAGTTTCTGCTCCATATAGTAGAACTGTTTTGACATTAGTGTTAAAGATTCTGACTTTGGTTTGCAGCTTTAGCTCCTTCGACTCCCATATTTTCTTTGATAGCACAAATGCTGATCTAGCTTTTCCAATTCTGACCCTTACATCCGCCTCGGATCCGCCATTTATGTCAATGGTGCTGCCTTTTTTTTAAGTAACCTAAATTTTGATGTGTGTTTATTGTAAGTATTAAATCATATTTTTAAAGGTCCTTGTATTTTTATTATTACATATAGCTTTACATAAATAAATACATCTTTTTTTTATTTTAAATAGACTTCATGAGGATTGTTTTATTATGAAGGATCCTTTTTCCACATCAGGAGGATTTATTAATGTTGGTGGAATGTGTTCGCTGTGTGGCAGAAATGTTTGCATGTCAAACGTAAGTGTTTATTAAACAGACGTTGTTTGCAACAACTTAATCATATTAGAACTGGGATATTGTTTTATGTTTCCTTAAAACATTGAAATAACTTCATAAGAGGTTATGAAATTTAACCTAGAGCACCAAAAAATAAAACATATTTTCATGACAGCCAATGATCAAAATTTTATGGGAATACAGCAAGCTGTAGGGAAAACAATGTAGAAAACCAAATTTGACATTACCAAATTTTACATTAAGACGTGAAGTAAACTTGACTTATAACAAACAAACCAAAAAGTCATTACTTGAAACAAAAGGTTTTGTTTAAGATTAACTTACCTATCTTTGTTCTAGTAAAGACCAATAGTTATCATTTAAAATACTAGTTTTTTTTTTTTTGCCATGCCAAATTCTTGATAATAAAAGTCAACCAAAGACTTTTCTAACTTAAAAAATAATTGTACAGTTTCGGCATAAACAAACAAGTCATTAGCTAAATCTACAGTGCAACAATTAGAAGCCTACTAAACTTCGGTTTTACCTGCTGGCGTGGGATTTCATCGTCTGACATTAAACGCTGATTAAATAGACTAATCAAGAAAGCCAGTAATATCACAAACATTTAACATCCTTCACTTGAAGAACTATTTGAAGAATAATGCTGTTGTAAAACTAAAAACATTTTGTATGATACATCCCACCCACTTCATCACAGATACAAAAGGTCAGCTCGATCAGGGCTCTCTTAAAGTTAGTATTGAAAGACATACAAATTCTTATGTTCCCCAGTCAGTACAAATTTACCAGCATCCTTTCCCTGTGACCAAAATCACTAATTAAATCATTATTATTGCTAAAGGAGTTCATTTAAGGCTGATTTATTTGCTAGAGAAATATGCCTTTGGCAGATGAAACGTTGTCGAGGAGTCCCCTTCATTGTGGTCGCAGACAACAATGTCAAGAGCCTAAAACTCTGTTTCTTTCTCTTAGTAGTAAGAAGTCAAATAACCATGAGTTCAGGTTCCTGAAATAATCACTGGCATTTTTTTAAAAAACTATGTGACTAAAATTCCTATCACCAAATATTATAGTTACAGAACTCCTAGCGAAAATATAAAAAAAGATGCCAAAAAAATGCTTTCTGAATTGAATTGAATATTTATAGAGCACTTGTATCCATGCTACTTTAGCACGCTCACAGCGCTCTGGTGTTCTTAAATCTATTTAAATAAATAAGTCTTTAAATGTTTCTTAAATGATTTTTTATCATTTTCAATTTCCCTTAAAGATTGGGGCAAGCTGTTCCATAATTTTGGCGCTATTGCTTCAAAAGAGCGCACTCACAAACATTTGGGACTCTACAACAAACCACTTGAAATCTTGCATATGCCGATAAAAAAGTATTTTCAGTTAGGGATAAGAGGTAAAAAAAATTCAAATGCTTTTATTGAATTAGAATTAGAAGATGCATCACTGCAAACAAACAGGGCTGGAAGTTAACAACCGAAAAACAAAATACATGACTATGTTAAGAAAAGAACCAGACTTTTGAAAAAATAACTCAATTCAGATAACTAGGATCCTTAATAAATTAAAGAAATGAATTACCAGCAGGATTAATGAAAAGAATATCAGCTGGAAACAGGGCATACCTTCAGTAGCAAAAAAATACTAAAAAGTAAAAACATTACACGAAAAACAAAGAAAACTATGTATAACTGTAATGGGACCAGTTGTAAACTACGTAAGTGAAACTTAGATACTAGCAAAAACAACAGAAAATGTATTAAACAAATGTAAGAGAAAAGTTCACAGGGAAATAAACGGACCAACAAAGGATGAATATGGATTGAGAATAGGAACCAAACAGGAATTAAATAGACTATGTCAGGATCCCACACTAGAAGAAATAATAATAAAGAAGGCTACTCTTAGCGGGACACTTAGAAGGAATATGCCAAATGAAATACTTAGATCTATGGAGAATATGGAAAAAGTTCTACAGCAACTTGGAATCCAAGCATGGAAAAGAAAATCAGCAGTGAGATTTCAGTAAAAATATTATAATATTTCGCCTATCACCACAAATGTATTAACCCCCACTCACAAAATACACACAGCTTTATTCTGTTTCCAATAATCTCTTAGTGGCTGAGTTCAATTCTTGATTAAAAGATTACAATTGGTCATTCAGGTAACAAAAAAAGACACAGCAAAACTACAGTATGTTATCCGACTGTGACAATACTGTTTAAAATTACATATAGGATGTGTATGTGTATTCATGACCGATTTAATGTTTATTAAAATATTTAAGCTGTTACTATGGCTTTTATATAAAGAAATTACAGGGACTCTGTAAAAGCCTTGGCAGGTGGCATTTATTATAATTTAAATTATCCAAGTTACTCGTGCTGAAAAGAAAGTAAGACTGTCATGATTTTAGAAGCTGTTATAATTAATTACATGTGAATCAGATTTATTTTTTTTAAATTTTATATCGTTTTCATTTATTTTAAACTTAACACCCTCTTTTCCTATATTATTAGGACTGCAGTCTGTTTTACACTCAAAGATTTTGTTTAAACTGTGCAGCTGAAAATATACAAGAATTCCCCTTGGAGCTTCAGCTGGTAATTCTTTATATTTTTAACACCAAAAAAAATAACCTCCCAAATATTTGTTAAAACCCTTGTGCTGTACTTGGTAAGGTATGAATTTTTTAAAAAATGTATAAATAAATATTTTTAAATTGTAGTAGTTGGCTATTTAATGGAAAATATTATGAAAGTATATTAAATTTAAGGGAAAATTGCTTTTAAATATGCCTATTTATTTATATCCATAATGAAGAACTTAGGAGGCATCATTGTTTCATTGAGTAAATTAATAGGAAATTATAAATAGCCATAAATAAAACTGGCAAAGGTCTGAGTGCATGAGAATTATTAGCAAGTTAAGCTTATCGCCACTGGAAAAAATTTGACAGAAAACAATACTAAGAAGACCAAGTCAATTTTAGATACATGAGAACAAATCTTTGGTGTTTACATATAAAAATACAATCAGACTAATTTATTGTACCTTTCCTTTGCTTTTACTAATACATCCTTTTTTAAAATTCTTTTGCTTCAGGAAATAACTCAAAAACTGAGAACAAAAGACATTAGTTGAAAAAGGCATTGATGTTGAAAATATATCCAGACCAGCATGCAGTGCAAAGACCTTTTTATACAACATTGACCTTGCTACTAAAGTGAACATTTCTTAACCCAAATAAAAGACAAATGAGTTTATTAAATCTCAGAGATCATCCACACTTATTGGTCTTGTTATATGTGCCACCTCAAGATTTCCTAGTGTAAATCGCATTATTCCAGATGATTCAACACACCTTGTTGGGTTTAGGCTCTCTTTATCTATAAAATATTTTTGAACTGAACTTTGAACAGGTGGGAAACCTATTTTCCAAAGCTGTCACATTTGAGCAAATGAGAAGTAAAATTCAAAATACTGCATAAAAAATGATAGTCAGTTTGGACTACCTAGTAATGAATGGAAATTAAAATTTTAAATACCGGTACCGTAAGAAGATATCACTGTTTCATATTTCAACATCTATTAAAAATATAAAATCGGACACTTCATTTGCTATAAAAAAACTGCAAAAGTTGGGACTGAAGTTTAGAAATCAAAGCACATCCCTCTTCCTGTAAAATCACATTAATAAATCCTACTTTATAAAATGCTGAGAATCATCTTTGTTGATCCAAACATTTAACATATTTTTGTAATTTTTAAAAATGTTTAGAGAATTCTTGTCATGTAAAATTATACTTATATGGCCGTGACTGAAAAATACCATTCAGATTCAAGACTGTTGTGCTGAGTCAGCATAAAATCCTCCAACCAAAATTTCTCCAAAGACTAAAGACTTGGAGATGTCATGTTCAAAGTCAAAGCGAAATATATCACTCAAGAACTCAATTGCCAATTTATATCAAATTTTTTCATATATTCAAAAGTGTTCAGGATCTTTTACATGAATGTGAAATTTTAATCATTATAAAAAAAGTTTTAGTTGAATGTTTTAGTTATATATTTTTAATGTACTAGTTTCTAGCAAAATAGTTGGCCACGATTCCAGGGTTCATTTATCTCGAAAAATGCATACGTAAGGACAACTCTTGTCAGTCAGTCTAATTAGAGATGGCTGCTTAAAAAAAAAGTGAAACTGACTTGGTCAAAGTGGTAGTGGTATCTTATACTTATACTAAAAATTAATTGATAGTCTTGTATGCATTCATCCCTTAAATTCAGAAAAATTACAGACATATATGGTGTGGTCTAAACATTAATGTTGGCCAAAATGTGTTTTAAATCAAAATGTTAATAGAGACCAACTGCTTACCCCCCTGTGTTTTACCATAAAGATGTGGATATCTAAAGGCATGAAATTTTTATTTTTTTTCCCAGTAACCTTCCTAGATAAAATCTTAACTGCCATTTTACCCATACAAATCCTTAGCTTAAGTAAAATGGTATTAAACCATAAATAAACATACTTACATAACCATAAAAAAAAAACATACACAATAAATTCAATTAAACATCGGTGAACGCTCCTTCTGCTTCCATGGGCCCACGTTCTGGAACCAGCTCCCCTTCCATATACGTCATAGTGAAACCTCGTCCATTTTCAAAAAGTCCCTTAAAACTCATCTGTTTAGGTCCGCCTCTATAGAATAGTAGTTACTATCCTAGTGTCTCATTTGTATTTACTTAGTTTACATGTTTTAATAACTGTAAAGCGCTTAGAGCTTTATGATAAGCGCTATATAAAAATGCCTAAATAAATAAATAAATAAATTAAACAATCTTTAAAACTGTGATACTTCGAGAGCTATATTTGTCAATTTTCTCACATTTCTTGTGTGCATCTTTAGAGAATATATTTAAAAAAATTATGATTATGAGTCCTGAAGTAGGTGTAAATTACATGTACAACTACTTATATAAGTTTTGTTTTATTGTGAATGTTACCAATGTTTGTTTTTATAAAGTTTGAACCGATGTTTATAAAATTCCGCATTAAACAGCATGAATGAATATTTATGAACTATACATGCGCAGCTAAAATCACAGTACCTCAGAACTCTGTGCATAAAATAATAGTAATTACAGAGTAATTTGTCTGTGTGCAGGGTTAGAGTGCCAGCTTTTTAAAAATAAAACTTAAGAACAAACACATTTAAATAACATAATTTTTTTATTTTTATATTTATATTCAGTTTTTGTTCACAAAATTATTTTTTTGTTTTACCATGAACAAATTATTACATTTTATTACAAAACAAAATAATAGGGACACCTTGAAGAGAGGAGAAAGAACCATAAATGTGAGTAAAATTATACTTCAGTTAAAATGAATTGCTGTTAAATGTTTAAATCACAAACTTTAAAGCTTTTAAATGTTTAAATCTCTCATTATTTTTTAAAACTTCAAATTTAACAAAGAAACTAATGACTAGAAAAATTCAATTTTGGAACAAAGTTCTTTACTTTTTTTTTTTTATTATCAGAAACTAAATTACAATGGAATACAAATAAATTGAATATTAATAATATGCTTGCTGTTTTTTTTTTAAATGTATAGAGTGCCTAGCCTAAACAGCTTTTCACATTCTTTTATTATATGTTTCTGTGTGTGTGTGTGTATATATATATATCTATTTGTTTTTTTATTATCAGAAACTAAATTACAATGGAATACAAATAAATTGAATATTAATAATATGCTTGCTGTTTTTTTTTTAAATGTATAGAGTGCCTAGCCTAAACAGCTTTTCACATGCTTTTATTATATGTTTCTGTGTGTGTGTGTGTATATATATATATCTATTTGTGTGTGTAAGTGTAAGTGTATATAAATAAATGATAATTGGTTGTAATTTATCTTTCTTTAAAAAATTAGCTCAGGGGGCTAATCAACAAATAGAAAAATTCACACAAAACGGGCTCGAATTTTAGATCGCTAGAATTTTAGATCCGGTATATACAAATATTGATTAGAACTGCATGGTGTTGTGAGCACACTTATTGTCAATCTGCTGATAACTTAAATAAATTTGCTCTCTTTAACATTACAGCTATTAATTACACAAATCATATTCCTAGAAGACTCCACTATACAATTAAGCATAGATATTATACTTTCATCTCTACATCCAGTGTCTATACAACTTGAAAGCATAATAAAGATGAGGAAAAGAGAGTTGACATGCCAAATTAATAACAATGGATCAATTAGCATCATAGGACACCCAAATTAATAACAATAGATCAATTAGCATCATAGGACACTTTTCACAAAAAGAAGAGAAAAAAATTACACTAAAGAAGGTTTCTTTACAGAAATTTAGAGAACAGGGGACTTATCATCTTAAGTGGACTCCACTGCATGTAATTTAACCAGTAAGTCTGGGAAAAAAAATACAAAGAAATATATTGACATAAATGATAAAACTTAACTGACCATTTAAAAAAAAAACTTAGTATGCAATGGAACCATTAACAAGGGAAGACAAAATTTCAAAATCTTAAGTGTAAGACTAAGATTACACAATATTGATGCAATGATACTGAATAATGATTTCACTATATTTATATATATATATATACACATATATATCACCGTACATAAGATGAAAATAATTTTTTTTAAGCAATCGGTTTCACGCAATGGTTTGATGCTCGACCAACTTAAAAAAAATATTCCACATAAAATGGTCAATGAAATGAATCAATGAGTACAGTACAAGATAAAATGCAAGTTAAAATTATTAATTACGTTAAATGAGCATGTCATTGGTGAAAGCTTGTTTATTTACAATATTTACAAATTAAAAAGAACTTGAAGATTAAAAAATAAAACTCACCATGCATGCATTCATTATCCTCATTTAATGATATGTCTATTTACTTGCCCTTCTTTTATTATGAACTATAATGTTGAAAAAAAAAAAAATTATTCCATGAGTTAAACTTTAAAGACTATGCTTTTTTAGGGGAACTACTTAAAATAGGCTAATATAATTAGGTCGCCATGACATAAAATCTAAATAATTTTTAAATCAGTCCTTATTTGCCAGAAAAGGAAAAAAAAACAGTAAGTAAATACATAACCCATGTTTAAAAAGCAAATTCCAATATGTTTTAAAACGAATAAAAAATACAAGAACAAGATAAATTAAATTAAGGTGAAAGAAAAAGGTCTTAACTGAAATCATGTCTGGCATTAAAACCATTTTATGTATTAGAAAATGTGATATTTGTTATGTGTCCACTCTGCCTCCAATTTACACTGAGAAGCTTTTACAATAAGGCATTACCTGATAAATTTCACTAATTTTACTAAGCATACTGAGAAAATAATCTGATTAGCCGTCAATGCAAACCAATAATCCAATTATCACCTCAATTTATTTTCTGAGACCCAAGACACATCTTACATAACTCCTGCTTTCAACCTTTTGCTCTGCGAGAGAGTAGTTGGAAACACTGTGCTTTTAAGTTAAGCTTAATGAATGTCCCTTGAGAAATGTCTGCATCAGTCAAGCTCTGATTTTGTTTTGTAGTAAAATTTCTCAGAAATGTATTTTTTGCTGCCTATCGTAACAATGGTGAATAGAACAAGGCATTCTGCATACTTAACCGTATAACAGAGCTTAGAAAATGATTGCATAAACTGGCTACTTTTAATACCTACAAAACAATAAATTACTAAAAAAGCAAGTTTTTAAAATTATTCATAGTAGTAATTTGTGTTCTTTTTGCAAAGAGAAAGAAATGTATAATTAAAATCTGGTTCAGGGGTTCTTTTCTTAATATTTTGCAGTGCCATACCCGCTCCTGATTTCAAAACATATTTCCGGCATGTTCACGATAAATATACTAATAAACCTTCTTTTGTGAAACACTAAATAACTATCTGCCATTTCTTTTCTTTTATATCCACATCGCCTGTCAGCATAGCAACAATAAACACTTATGAATAATCTTTCCTTCTATGGGCAGAATTTCACATCTTTCCTTCCCTCACAATACTTAACAAAAGTAGCTGTCATTGCAGTTTTAATTTTTGGTGCTGGCACTGAATGCTAAGATGTTTGCTGTATTAAAATCCCATTTCACACATAAACAGACCAAATGTAGATTAAAGATGTTACATATTGTAAACAGTCACCAATTTACTGATATTTCAATGAGATAATGTCTGAAATGTCCTGTAAATCCTTACAATAGTTACTATGAAAATGTTTAATCTGATTTTTAATCTGATGGTCGACATTTTTTACAGCACATTGTTATAATACATATTTTGAATAGATTATTAGTTGTATCCCATTATGTGTGTACCTGTCTCTAAAATATGAAGGGAAAAATCTTTTCCCATCAAGTTACTTATTGAAATTTGCAATAAATTATTTTACTCTGAGCTGCGCTTAAGTAGCATGTGATTTATTTACTAGATGAGCTATGTGGATGGAATTGGAAATGCCTCTCACGTCACAACAAGAACTAGGCCAAAGTAATTCAAGTTGTCAGCACTAGTGTTAAGATGCATCTTCAATGGGTTATGCATGCAAACAGATAAATAAAAAATAATTTTTTACAAAACTTAAAACTTACAAAGTTAATAATACCTACATTTTAAAATTTAAATGAAAAATAAAAGGTGCTTTAATATTCTAAATGATTTTTCTAATATAATATGGCCAATGACAATTATTTTCATCTTTAAAAAAAAAAAAATGTTTAAAAACAGCATGGCAAATCTATATCAACACTACACTTGGGAACATTTTTCCTGGATGTAAAAATTTATAATTTTTCTTTATGTAGCACATGTATCTCGAGATGAGTCATCTGTGAGATCAGGGGCTGTAACGGAATTAGTGTCACTGGCATCAGAACTTAAATGGCTATCCGACGGCCTCGGATCTGGTTTGGGCTGGTAGTCAGTAACAACAACTGTTACATTTCCTACTGTTACAGACAAATGGGATGGACGGCTTCTGTCAATATTCTTTAATCTAGGTACACTGAACAGAAAGAAGGTAAATAAATATATCAGTACATACGGGCATTGAAAATGATTTAAACATAAAATTTATTAAAATAAGGAGCATTGTAAAAACCATTATATCTCCTCCCCACTCCCCTCTTTTTACACCTGCTAATCTTTAAAGAAACAAAAAATAATAATTCTAAATTAGCCGTTCACTTGTGTGTATTAAAAATCTGTTCTTAATTCTGTTCTTAATCTAAAAGCGAAAGTGAAAAGTTAGAAAAGGCTACGGGTATGTTCAATCAACAACATGAGAGCAAAAGCAAGTAATGTGTTTCCTGCTTACCGATTTGAATCTGAACTACTGTCTCCACCTTTTTCCTTTCTGGATGAATGTGACTTTTCTTTTTTAGGAGGAGGTGCAAATTGTTGGGCTTTCTGTAGTGCCACTAACTGGGGATTTATCCTGGGTTTTCTAAAATGCAAAGAGATTTAATACTCAGTACATTTAAAATTGAAATTGAACAAATGTTTAATTTTTTTTAAAAACAACAGAGATATAAATTTTTCACCCATTGATTTTCAATGGACTGTGTATATTTAATATTAATACACAGACTTTGTATAAGCTAAACTCATCAAGAAATGTTTTAATTACTGGTAATGTATTTATAAAATTATTATTATCTAAGAAATTTTGGATGAAAAAAAAATATAGCAGTTTGTAGCTAAGTTTTTCAATAAACTTGTAGTTTTAAAGCAATGAGAAAAAGCTACATGTATTTTTTTAAAATTTAAAAAGTACCATATGTACAATCAGCTTTCTACTTTGAAATGGCAAAAAGTTCACATTAAGCCCACAAAAAAATCATTAAAACTTTCAAACCTTGTAGAAGTCCCTTTTCTGACATCACACATTTCACATTTGTAAGCTTCAGGAGAATTCTTGTAGGTGCACACACTGCAATCCCAAAACCCCTCATCTAGAACTTTTGCTTGTCTTTTTGCCCTGAATTCAGAAATATAAAATCATCTTAATCCATTGAAAATCTATGAGAAATATGGTACCAGTAACAATTAGTAGATTATTTAGCAACAAATAAGTTGTCTGTAAATAAAGTTGTAATTGCCAAAAGAATGTACCAGTAACACAAATAAGACAGTTTGATCAATCACACAGTCACAAATTCCTTACACCCCCCCAACCACCCTGATGCGAAACATTATTTATGGGTGGCGCCTTAGGCCTAAATACAACAATACATAAAGTTCATTAAAAATCCATAAGTGAACTTCTAAAAATGATAGAAATAGAAAAATAATCTTAGCATTGGAGTTTCTGTGACAACAGACATTTCTTAAAATTTCAGCTGAAGTTTAAGTACCGGTACAAGTCCTAATTTCTAAATTAGTAAAGCGTAAAAACTAAATTTAGGTCTCATCTGCATCATCAATTCAATCAGTAGAGAAAAGTGCTTGGAGATGTCAAAATTTGAATGATGATCAATACTCTACTCACTAAAGGACTGAGTTTTTGTTCATAGATTATACTAAGTATTACTAGGATAAATAAGCTGAAGATCCTTCAATATCAATAGTATTGAATATTGCTGATATTTTGAACTTATTGACTTGGGGGTACGGTAATTGAACTCAGTTTAAGTTTACTACTTAATCTAACTTTTAGGGGTTAGGCTATTTAAAATGAAGATGTTTTGTTAGTATGGTACTAATTCACTTGTATTTTTAGTTAAGGGCATTAAGTTAATGGCCTGTTAGTGTTATTGATGATGTAATTATTTTGTTTTGTAGCCTACAATCTACAAATTTTTTTACTTTTTTTTGGGTGGTAATACTAATACTTTACTTTTATACTTTAGGTAAGTTTAGGGATTATGGCTATGTGTAGTTTTGCAAGTAGTCTAATTAAGACTAATAATTTAATAAAAGCAGGGGAGTAAAATGAAAGCAAAAAAAAAAAGTTACAAAACTAGGACTAGTGTGGTGTAAAATAAATATAATAAGGCTGCGGCTATTCGGACTCGGGTATCAGAAGTTGGGTTTATTAAAGAATATTTAATTTAATTTAAAATAGGGTCTGTATGTAAGACAAAGTTTGGTATCAAATGAAAGATTATTGAATGGACTATATGACTCTAAACTTAATTCTTCAGTTAACTAAAATAAACTAAAACTACCACAAATGACATCCGAATGGCATTTAGTCTAAAGTCTAAAGGGACTCAGGTCCGAATAGTGGTAACCTTATTATATTTATACAAATCCAACTGATTTTAATATTTTTCAATCCCAACCTCTCACTTCTGATACCCGGGTCCAAATAGCCACCTCAATATAATAATTAATAAGCCTGTCATAATATTATAATAACCTATGTATGAGCAAGTCATAATTTATGAGAAATATTATTAGTCAACAAACACTTGGACACTTGGAACAGTGATTGTGATAGTACATGCCCTATAAAGTTGTTCTTAAAAAAACCCAACTAATTTGGTGTGCATATGATAGTCTTTCAAAGCCATGAAAATGAAGTTTATTTAATTTAAGAACACCTGATTTAACATTAGAATTTATTAGAAGTAGTGATTACTGATTAGTGTCATTTCATTATTAGTAAAAACCAGTTGACATTATTATATTATTTTTTAGCTTAGCCTAAATAAAAATTAAAAATATATTGTCAATTTAATCATGGGACCCATCATTGGTTTCGACGCCATATTATAAATTTGAATCTAAATTAGGCCCCATCACGATCAAACCATTTTGGCTACCTTCCCGAGGACCTCTTTTCTTCCATTGTTGGGAATTTACTAATCTGGTGTATGTTCTTTTGTGTGTCTTCTAGTAAAAGTTAAGTTTTTCAAGTTACTAGCCGAAAATAAAATGGATGTCAATACTGTCATGTGACTGAAGTAAACCAATGGCCGCATTGAGAATTAGGTTAATATTACAAAAACCTAAACGCTTGAAGATTTGATAGCGGGATAACAAAACAAACCCACGTTAATTTTTCAATTAAATTTTTATTTTAAAAATGCTTTAGATCAAAATTTATTTTGATTTGTATGTTTCAGTATTAAATTTATGCATCAAAATACCACAATCGTCAGTAAAAGTAGTAAGTAGCTATATATATATATATATACATATATATATATATATATATATATATATAGATATGTATATATATATTATATATATATATAAATATAATATGAACAATTTAAAATTTTATAAATATATATTATAATTTTAATTTTTACTATTGACTATTGAAAATTGTTTTTGTTTTTTTTTAATTTAGATTGATTTAAGTAGTAATTTCTTATTTTAAATGTTAAAAAAAATTACGTCTCTTTTGTTAAAAGGAGAATGATTTTTTTTCCGGAAAAAGTGTGCGAGATTTTTTTTTGTGGGGGGGGGGGGGAGCTGCTGACTTTTTAACGCTGAAAATTACAATTATCAGAGAACTTGCCAAGCTGAAAATAGAAAACTATAAATTATAGTACATATTAAATAAATATATAAAACGTAAATAAAATAATTTCTAATACACAAATCTGAACAGGTGGAGGGGGGGGGGGAGCTGCTGACTTTTTAACGCTGAAAATTACAATTATCAGAGAACTTGCCAAGATGAAAATAGAAAACTATAAATTATAGTACATATTAAATAAATATATAAAACGTAAATAAATTAAATGAATCGCTTTACTTTAGTTTTATAATCATTTTTTGTTTGAATGTTTCAGCTTCAAATGATAATATAAAATAGAAAAATGAATTTCGGATAATATATTAACAGAAAAAAAAACATATCTTAGTTATTAAATATAAATTACAGCCTACGGGTATTTACCTATATCCACCTGGCCCATCTACACTGACTTGAGGATGACCTGCTGATAAGAAAAAAAAATCATTATCCCTCATATTAGTTAGGAGTAAAGAGGCGTCAGTGTGGTAAAGAGCAGTCTCATCGATGGCTATACTATAATTCATATTTCATTATTGCAGCAAAGGTAAATCATCATTGTTACCCTTTTATTTGTCATAAATTGCCTTAATAATAAATCACTTAAGAGGGGCTAATACTGACTAATAATAATAATAATACTGATACTAATAGACTAATGACTAATAGTAATTAGTAATAGTAATAGTAATAGTTACTTAACTAACTAGTAAGTAGTAAGGGAAAGTGTAACTAAAGACTAAAGTTGAAGATTTAAAATCTAAGTAAGGCAATATTATATCAATTAATGAATTATTTTCTATTAATTTTTAATAATATTATTTATTAATTAACTTGTAGTACTTGAATAGTAATAGTGTGGTCAGTGTTAAGTAGTAAGTTGGAGTTACTTAATAATAGTATATTAGTAAGTAAGTTACTAGTTAGTTAGTATTAGTTATTAGTAGGTATTACTAAGAAGTACTAAGCTAAGCCTAAACAGTAAATAGTGTCTAGGCTAGGCCTATTCTATACTTAACTATTATATACAAGTTAAATACTATTAAACTAAATAGAAAGTACTAATAAAATTTGCGCTAATTAGTAATAAGAGTTATAGTATAGACAAGAATTAAAATAATTTAGTTTTTTTTTTCAAGTACAAATCACATAGGCCTACTGACTACTGTGAGACTGAGATACAATTCATTTCATACTTTTATCATATATATTATTAGGCCTAAGTCCCTAAGTTTAAATTTTTATAAACGGTTGTTTTTTAGCTCAGTTTATGTACAGGAAGATGCAATTTTTAATTTTATTATTATTATGTTAAACTTCTTAGTCTTAACCTCAGGACCTGATTAGTTTAGTAATAAGGTTTGAATAAGGAGCCATCCATAAATGATGTCATTGTCATGATTAATAAAAGCAGCTACTTTTTGGAATGGAGGCGAAGGGTTATCACAATTTTTTACAGTCGTTTACTTTTAATACTTTTATGATGTTGTCATAAATTTTGAATTGTGTGACGAATTTGGAATTTTTTAATATGGTGGGGGGGGGGGGGGGGGGGGGGGGTTGTCCAAAATCTACCAAAATACTGTGACATCCTTTGTCAACGATAATATCATGATTAACACCATTAACTGCTATTACTGCTAACTAACCTAATGACAATAAATGGAGAGACTGCATCTGCAATCAGGTTAAGTAAAAGTGAAAATTTAATTAGAATAAGGTAGGGGAAAACCTGAAAAAAATGTTGCAACAAAACAAATTAGGTTTAGTTAAGTCCTTTTTTTTTCAGGTTTTCCTCTACCTTGTTCTATACATTTCCTAACTAACCTAAGCTAGAACGTAGCTTAGAATCTTAGTCTTAAAAATAAGAGATTTGTATAGGCCAGGCCTAATTGCTACAGTATTTTCGCATATATGACGCCTCTTATACAAAATTTTACCCCGCATCTTATATATTGGTGTGTCTTATATGCTCAAAATACAGTAAGTATTTTTTAACATTAACGAATGTTAAAATGTGTGATTTTGAAGGACGATTATTGCGGTTGATAGCCACTTATCACAATTTTCATCTCTAGTTGTAAAAATAATTGGGGTAAGTTTTCAGTAATTACCACATGTATCAGTCCAATGCAGGCCACGAAAATCCTTTCGTTTCAATGTTTTGTATATCAATGAAGCCACCTTTACATCTGACTTTTATTGTTTAATCATTGCGGTCCTTCCTCAGACAATTCTTTGATCTACCGGTAAACTAAAAATGGTAATTAAGCCTTGTTTACATCCAGCGGGTGATGAAACATTGAACAAATTTTCAATTACGATAAAGGAAAGGAAACCACTGGATATAAATTGCTTAGTGCAGCAGATGGCTAGGCCGCGTGCGTCTTATGTAAATTTTTTTACAGAAATCGTCAAAACCCGCTTTTTATATATGGGTGCGTCTTATGTAAAATATTTTGTACACAAATCGTCAAAACCCGTATCTTACATACAGGTGTGTCTTAAATACAATAATTAGTATTAAACTTGACTTGGTCTTAACTAGTAATTGTAACTAAATCGAAGTCAAAGGCCTAGTATTTGTAGCTGCCTAGGGCATATTTTATATTTATATCCTAGGTCTACTCACAAATACTTTTGACTTGGACACTTCTAACTGAACTAACTAGCACTAACTATGCCTATTCTATTATAGACTATTCTAGCCTTCTTCTACTAGAGTCTACTTTATTACTTTTGATCTTATTAAGATTAGGCCTATGGTCATGGCTATATTCTAGACCCTAAGCTGCTGCCCTAACTGTTCTACTAGGCAATAGTAAATAGGGGTTTTAGAGTTTTGTCCTAAAATTTACTAAGGCCTAAACTTAATCACTCAACTAACTTGCCTACTGTATTCAATTTATAGCTTACATAATTAAAAGTATTTTTTTATTTTTAAAATGTGTGTATTCATAAATCTTTTACATTTAAGCTACCACCTTTGGCATCTACTTCTAACAAACAAGATTTTGCAAAACAGTAACAAAAAAATGAGGATTCGCTTGACGAGAGTTGAATCACACAAAGCTGCTGTGTTTGTACTGACATTTTTCAGGTACAATTTACTACAATTGTAAAATTTTGTATTTTTATTGAATACTTTTGTTTGATAATAACAGATAAACACCTTAAAAATGTTTAAAATTTTGTATAGTACGGAACTGTTTAAAGTCATCAAATTAAACATCATCATTGCCACTTCAAGGATTTTCTTATTTTTTGTGAATAATTTATTTATTAGAAAAGCATGGACTTTTTTTCAATTTATATCTTATTAAACCTAATATCTTTTTTGCAGCTATGCTCTCTTCCATGCAAACCGAAAAGCATTTAGTAATGTGAAGAGCTCTACAGCCGCAGTATGGACACCCCACAACTTAACAGATCGTAGACTTCAGCCTGAAGATGTAAGTCACTTAGATGTTGCAGTATCAATTTTTTTAGCATTTCAAATGAAGTGTATTCCACTACAGCAATTAAATTTAATTTCCAGGGTATTGTTTAACATTATCATTGTGATTCATACATTTATTATGCCAACTAACACAGTTTTGGCACTTGGGATCCAAGCATAAGCCAATTAATACTTTTGTTACTTTATTGTTTCTATGTAATATTCAGTGTGTATTCCCATTCTTTTAAAAATTAGCTATGGTACTCTCATGACCTGTTTGCTACTGAAGATGATGCAGAGAAGTTTGAAGGTGTTTTGGATACTGCATTTATGTTGGCATATGCTGTTGTAAGTAGCAGTACTTTCATTTTATTCTCCATGGTTCTTGTCTCTTCAGGTTCACTGTGCCTTTATTTGTTCTTATCTCAATTTTTTAAAATGAGAGACATTTCTAAGTTTTGCTCTACACTGTAGGAATTTAGATTATTAAAATTTTGGTTTAAATGTCATATACATATATATGCCTTTTGAATTAATTTTAGAAACTATTATTCATTATCCAGGGACTCTTTTTAAATGGCTATATTGGTGACAGGTAGGATTGATTTTATTAATGTACTATTTTTTAATAAACATTTAAACTTTTATAACACTTTTAGTTTTAGTTTCAAATCATACACTAATTTATTAATTATACATTGTTTCTAATAAACAAAAAATATTATCTATGTTTAATTGTTCTATAATAACATTTTATTTAAGTACCGTATAAATTAATTTTTGTACACAGAGTGAATATGAGAATTCTGCTCGCTGTAGGGATGGGTAGCACATCTGTGTTGGTAAGAAATTATTTTATATTTTTATATTTATCTTATCAAGACATTAACTCGTTTTTAGAGCCAAAATTTTGGCACTCTATTTGTGTCTTTTCACATTGCTCATGGATATAAGTGGGTAATCTGTGTCTATTTCTTAAGCTTAAATTAGTAACAAATTATACTATTAATATTATAAACATCTGGTACTGTGCCTGTGGGTTGCGGCCCCTAATGGGGGTCACCAACTGAAACAGTAAATTAAATAAATATTATGGTTTTAAGGAAATATTCATTTGTAACTAGTGTCTTACAAAAATTTTGAATAATTTGATAACTCTGTATCTATTTTGATGTGTTTTCTCTTAGTGTATTAGTTGTTGTTTTTTTTTAATGTATTAGGGTCGCAGGTCATTTGGCTTCTAAGAAAGTGGAGCAGTGAGTCACTTTGCTTCTATAAAAATAATTCCCATTTTTTAAAAAGTTGGGAAACTTATAAAAATTCAATGTTTTCTAATTTTAAAAAAAAAAAGCTGATCATAATTTTTTTTACAGGTGTTTGTTTTTGGCTGTATAGCAGAATGGACACTCTTCTACAACAAGTATTTTTATGCTGTTATCTGGATAGTTAATGGATTGATGCAGTCCACAGGATGGCCTGTAGTGGTAGCCTGTATGGGCAACTGGTTTGGTCAAAGCAGGTAATAAGGCAGATTTTCCTTTCTTTGTATTAGTGCACAGTAAATTTATTTAGATTCAAAATGTCCACCTTTAAAATTGTTTTAACAATTAATTTTAAACATTGGTTTCTTAAAACTAACAATTTTATGGTTAATGTTAAAAAAAAATTAATTTTAAATTCTAAAATATTTCAGTCTTGTTTGGTGTGTAAAATTGAAAGAAAAAAAGAAAAAAAAGAACATTTCAGGAGACTTTATTAGTTTAAAAGAAGATAGAAAATTAGGAAAAAATTACAGACATATTTAATGGACTTGAAAAACAGCTTTTATAACAAAAATGTATTTCATTATCTTTTATTTGTCTTCTCAAATCAACCCAAAGAGTTTTGATTGAATAAGAAATGTAATAGCTCACTTTTCTTCTGTTCAGCCGTGGTGTGTTACTCGGCTTATGGAGCTCTTGTGCGTCTGTGGGAAACATTATTGGAGCTCTTTTGGTATCTTCTGTGTTATCTTATGGTTATCAGGTAAAATCCATCATAAAATTGTTCGTGTTGAATTATAGATAACAGAAACCAAAACTATTACATATATATATATATATATATATATATATATATATATATATATATANGAAAATATTTTACTTGTTACCTGCAGTATGCATTCCTGGTGACTTCGGCAATACTTCTCTCTGGTTCTTTCATAGTATTATTTGGTTTGATTCCATCACCCATTGATGTTGGTAAGTTATTATATTGAAATGTCTATAATAAAATATTATGAGTAATTAATCAATAAAATATTGCAAATATCGAAGAGCTATAAGTGGTAGAAATTTTCCCACACTTAATTGTTTAACATCACTAAAACTAAATTGTTTATTATCACTAGTTATAATTAAAAAGACACACATTTTGTGGTGTTTGGAAAAGATACGTTTTTAAAGTTAAGTAGTAATTATTGGTTTCATTAATTGGCTTAACAACTCTGCTCTGCATTTAAAATTTTAAATGTGTTGAGTTTTAAATTTTTTTTTTTGACCACAGGCTTGGAATTGGCGAATGATGATAAGCCAAAAAGTAATGTGAACACTGACAGAGATGATGTCGAAGGTAAGTCAAGAAAAGGAAGACAATGGGTGTAGTAACTTAAATTGTTTTTATATACTTCATTTCTACTATTAACAACACAACAAAAAAAACAAAAAAAACAGCATTTAAAAAAAAAAATAGTATTTAGGTGAAATGCCTTATCTCGACATTATTATTATTACAAGGGAATGGCTGTTTTCTGAAAGTATTGATTTGAGCTCTTTGAAAAATCTTTGTCTGCTTCAACTATTTTTAAGTAATTTTTTGTTTAATCATTACATCAATTTGTTTATTAACAAATATGTTTGTTTATGTTGAATAAATTTCACTGTTTTTTGAAATATTTAAAAGAAATGGCAATTGTGATCACTTACTGATCGTTTTCAGAGGCAGACAGGAGTTGAATTTTTTTAGAGAGAGAATAAGATTGATTTTCCTTCGTTTTATTTGTTTTTCTCTCCTTTTTAAAGTTAAAACTAGAATTGAGTACTCAGTGGCTAGTGAAAATGTATATGTCATCACAATCCCTCCGACTCGTAAAGGTATTCATTTATAATCTCCACCCAATTTTTATAAGCAGTTTTAGATACCAATACTTTTACATTTAAGTGAAGCTTCCAATTCTTGGATTTGATTGATGCACCAGATGTTTTATTTCCACAATGCACTCTTTAGGCTAATTTCAACTTATATATATTTTTTTAACGTGTATATTTTCATTCAAATATTTCTTAGCCAGTTGTAGCCTGTCATGCCTTTAAGAAATGACAAATGCCATCTTTGTCCTTATGTTATGCTTTGATCTGTGAACCTAGAATAAGTCATAGAGCCTAGTTGTCTCATGATTCTTGTTATTGCACTCCAAATTTGAGAAACAATTCTCATCAGCTAGCATTACATTATTATTTTACAGGCACATGAACTTCTCTCTTTTAAAAAATTGTCAGGGTGTAAAAAAATGTTTATACTAAAAGTTAACTATATTAATTAAAGGGAACATCTAAAAAAAAGAAAGAGCCGCACTTGTATCATCCCAGAGATAGAGTAACCAAAGTGACAGCCATTTCACTATTTCTTCAATATTGTTTATACCTCTCCCACCTGCTGCCCCATGTTTTAATCCTTAATATATTTATATGAAGCATATATCCTTTTTTTCCATGTATAATTCTTACAAGTTGAGCTTTGGCTTACCTGCTTAACTTACTTCTTACTTACTTTTGCTGTTTGAAGATCAAGAGTGTTGACAATACAAATACTTTACAGAGGTCTGACAGTAATGAAATTTTTCAAACATTTTTTTCTTCATTCCTGCGTGGCAACCTTTTCTCAGGTCATGGGTTGCCAGCCTCTGCTTTAGCATTTTTTAAACGTGAAGATATGCTCTATATATTTTTCTTTTACTGCTGGACAGATGAAAAAACAACATTTTTTTGTTTACACTGCCACTACCCTTTTCCCTGTTCAGACTGCTTTGAGCGCATTGCTTTTCTTGTTATATAGTTTCCTCAAGTCAGCCATCCACAATAAAATTAAATTTTTAAGTAATAAAATTTATTTCATTATTTTACTTAAAGTATGGTTCCATTTCATTAATTATTACATTTTTGATAACACTGTTGCTGGTTGCACAGCAATACAATTTGCGTATTACTTTTAATTATTTTTTTTCCTTCTGTGTGTTTTCTATGTTTTTATTTTTCACTCCAACTGACATCCTGCTAGGTTGTTGATAATGGTTTTCTTCTTTTTTGAACATTAAATTTCAGATACATTGGAGAAATTGTAAAAATCAAGGAAATTTTGCTAATTGCTGCAGGCAGTTTATTTTTTTCTATGTCAAACGTATTCGACAATTGTAAAAAAGTTAGCAGACAAATTACAGCAATTCCTTTCATTGCTTTTCTGCATTTAGAGTATTGAGCTCATCTCAAGACAAAGTGTTGTTGACTTGACAGGAAATTGCCTTTGTATATGATTGTGAGAGTTCTTTGAATAAGCAGTCAAATTTGTTTCTTTTAATGAGCAGAAGCACCACTTGGCATGGTTCTTCACAAAGGACAAACAAGAAATTTTAAAAAATTAAAATATGTGTTGTAAAACAGAGGATGCAATAGGCTTGTTTAATAACATTTATAATAAATTTATCATTAATTCAAAGTTAAATCAATTTTTTTTTTAATTTGTTGATCCTACTTATTGTGCAGTGTTTAAAATTTTAATTTCAGATCCCATCATTTAAACTCCCTTCCCCTCCCCCCCTTAAATTTGTAGTTTGTATTTTTGTTGGTCTTTTGCAGAACCACTTCTCGGCGCAGCTGTTTCTCAACCAATTGTCAAACAAAACTACCCCTCAGAAGATGATGATGTAACTTATGATATTCAAGCCACGAGGCCAACTTCAATGTCATTTCTTAAGGCCTGTCTCCTTCCTGGTGTTATTCCTGTACGTTGCATTTTCGTGAATCCTCTCAAAATTTCCTTCAGAAAAAAAAGATTAATAAATAAAAATTCACAAATGAATTTCTTTTTACTAGTTTACCACCATGACCCTATGTAATATTTCAAGAGCCAACTGAACAGGAAAATGTTGTTACTTGCAAATTTTTGTTTATAGATACCAGCATTCATTTAACTCATTTCAAAAGCATCCATTTATAATGTCTCGTTATGCTATTCCAGTATGCCCTGGCCTATGCTTTTCTTAAGCTGGTCAACTACTCATTTTTCTTCTGGCTCCCTTTCTACCTCCATAATGCCTTCAAATGGGAAGAGAGTGTAGCTGATCAACTATCTACTGCCTATGATGTTGCTGGGATAGTGGGTAAGTGAACTGCACAGAATAAAATCCAGGTACCTGGGATGAAGAGGATGGGATGTATCGTCCAAATTTATTTTACTTATACAACAGCATTATTCTTCAAAATGTTCAAGTGAAGGATGTTTGGTTTGTATGATATTACTAGTTTATACGAGTGTTATTGTTTACATTAGTATGTATTGTATTTAAACTCTAGTTCTGAATGTTAAGTACAAGGTGATGGTTCTGTCTAGTGTAGCAAAAATCCACGAATGGTAAGCTCTGGCTCTTTGAAATTAACATAAAATTAATCTGGAATGTCCTAGCCCATTTCAATTCTTTTTTTATCTTCTGGAATATCTTGGCTCATTTCAACTTTTTTTTTTATCTTCTGGAATATCTTAGCTTATTTCAACTCTTTGCACCTTAATAGCAGAGCCCTTTCTAAAATGTGGACAATCAATGAAGCTGTGGGGCAAAGAGTGTGCCATTGTATTATGGAAAATAGCTACAGTCTTACCAATTTGAGTTACCTGAATTATACCAGAAATCTTTTAAAAACCATGTATCATTTCAGGGCACTGTGTGTATCAGCAGAGCACTGTGTTTATCATAGCAGAGCACTGTGTATGATATGGGGCTGATTTTTAAACTATTATTTTGAATTTTAAAAAGAACTTAAAAACTTGCTGTGTTAGTGGCATAATTTACTAAACCAAAAAAATTACCTATAGAAAATGTTCTGCCACTGTAAACAAATGTCTGAAGAAAAAAGAATATATGAATACATACAAACAGAAATTATAAAAATAATATTTAAAATATGTTTTGTCTTTCAGGCGGAACTGTTGTGGGATTTATGTCTGTAAGTACTTTTTGAAAAAAAAATTCTGTTAGAATGTGTTTTAAAATGAATCAAGATCGTTTTGTTTTTTTTTAAATTTTTTATTTTATTTATTGTTGCTCGTGTCCTTTTAAGTTGTTAACAAACTTCCCTTTCTTGTTTTCTTTCTTCTCAGGATCGACTTGGTAAAAGAACAATCATGATTGTGCCGATGCTCATTTTTTCTATTCCATCATTGCTGCTGTACAGCTGTAAGTGTTGAGCTGTAAAAAATGAGCTGTTCTAGTTTTACTGTTTCATTAACTCATAGCACTGTGTGTTACATTTTAGACAATGTGATTAATCTATTCTTACGTATGTAGATGTATATCCTTAAGTATGTAGGTGTCCGTACTTAGGTATGTCGATTACTAAAACTTTTGTATGTAGATGTATATTCTTAGGTATTTAGATCACTAATACTTACGTGTGTAGATGTCTATACTTACTTTTGTAGATTTCTATACATACATATGTAGATGTCTAAAATATTTATTTTTTTGCTATTAAGAATCATCAAATTACATGTGAAATATATTGAATTCAGGCAAAACTGTGATTCTTCCCAAACTAGAGTTGCCTTCAAGGATGGACTACACTGACTACATATCTTTAGTCTATATCGATGAGTGCAAGAAACGTCATAAATGCATATTAAATTATCCTTTGTTTATTTTTAGATTCACCTAATGATCGTTTAGTCAACACTGTCCTAATGTCCCTCATTGGATGTTTAATTGGTGGAGCTGCTAATCTAATTAGTGCTGCTGTCTCAGCTGACTTAGGTATGATCATATCTAAACATCCAAGATGTACTTGTTGAGTTTTAGGCTGAAATGTTATATTCAAAGCAAAATTTCCTTCAATTTTAAAATGTTTGTTATGAAATCAGGCTTTAATTTGTCTATAAACCTAAGTTCTTTTTAAAAAAAAAAAAAAAAAAGCCTAAAAAAACATTGTGTGAATTGTAGATGCGGTTGCATTATAATCTTTCTAATGATTGAACATTTTCAGGTTGCCAGAAGCAAATCCAGGGAGATGACAGAGCCTTAGCTACAGTAACCGGTATCATAGATGGGACTGGAAGCTTTGGGGCTGCCCTTGGCCAGGTATGTTTTAGAGCTATGTTAAATTGGAGGAGGGGGGCGGCAGTGATAGTGCAAGAAGGCTGTTGGTAGAAATACATCCAGCTTCTCTCTCTTCCCTGACGCCACCCAAAATCTAAGGGCGAAATAGCAGGGTTGAAATGGATTGGACATTTTATGATTAACAAGTATGTTAGAAATAAAGATGATTACAGTGTAGTCAGTGGTCTTTGCAGTAATTTTATGATTAGCAAGTATGTTGATAATAAAGAGGATCAAATTCATATAACTAAAATCTCCTCCTGAGACAGTTTGCTACAGAATTTAGCTCATGTAGTGTCTTTTTTGTAGTGTCTTGTTAATTGAGTTATACGATAAATGGTCTATGCATGAGAAAGCATGGAAGATGTAATTGAAATACAGTTTGCCACTTAGAAGAGATTACAAAGAGGCCTCTATCTGATCCCTTTTCTTTTCCAGATTGCAGTTCCTTATCTTCAGACAGGATTGGGGTGGCCTTCAGTGTTTTACTTGTTTATGATTTGTGTAAGTTTTCAATCTTGTAATGAATAACTTGTTTTTTTATTCTGCTGGTTTATTTAGGGGGGGGGGGCGCTCTTTTAGGATAAGATAAGATATAAGATTCTTTACTAATTCGAATTAAAAGGAAATGTTTTTTTTAATATTCATTTTCTCCACAAATAAATACATATTTTTAACCAAGACAACATTTTACGATTATAACAATATAAACACATCTTAAGTATTTCTCTGGCATAAAAATAGGCATTAAATGAACTCTTTTGGTGACAATAATGACTTAAGTAGTGATCATTTATATTTGTTAACTGCTGGGGGAGCACGCTGGTAAATTCGTAGAGTTGGGGGAACAATAGAATTTTATATCTTTTTGTCCTGTTGTACCTTGGATTCATTGGTGACAGAATTATATGTAGTAGCTCTTATCGATACCTCTGACTTAGATGGGGGATTTTTTCTTATCTGGAGCAAGACAGTTCAATCATAGGAAAAATTACAAGTGTAACCGTTTGATGGACGATTGATTGTAGGTTTTCTCTTTATTGCAGATGTTCCTGACAGCTGTGTGCCTGTTTCCGTTGTTTGTCAAAGAGATCCGCAGCATAAAGTGCTCCTGCTTAAGGCGAAGCAGGTCAGCTGACATCAATTGAGGTGTAACATTAACATTGGGTCCTATACAGTTCAGGTTATTTTAGGTTCAAGTGGCTATCAACAATAATGTGCAGATCACAAAGGGAAACAATTTGCATATTTGTTGGAAATGTATTTTATTTTTCTTAAATGGCATAAGGTGTCTTAATAAATCTTTCGGGTTGTTTAAGAAATTTAAGATATTTTGATTGGCTCTTCTATTTTGCCAGTTTATACAACTGGTTGAGGGTTGAAATCATTATTATAATTATAGAATCTGCTTTCTATAACATGACCATTATTATGACCCTCTTAAGTCTTGACAGGAAATATGCCTCTAAATTTACAAATAAAGAAAAAAGTATTATTATAAAAAAAAATTTAAAAAGTCAAAACCATTACATGAAACAATTGAAGTACATGGTGACTAAACCATTGCCAAAAACATTTTATCAGTAAATAGCGTAAACAGTTATAAGTGCAAAGTGACTTTGCCATATGCCAAAAACATTTCATCTTTGTTTTTGCTTGTCATACATACAGTTGTATTTTTTTGAAAAAATAACCAGTTGTTTCATATTCCTTTTTAGAATCCTAAAAAAAAAAATCTTAGCATTTTAGTAGTTTGAAACAACAATAATTAGAAAAATTTCAGAAATCGATTTTTTTACTTTATAAAATGCTCAAAATTATTAAACTGTCTATTCTATTCTGATTTTGACAAGCAAAAATGAAAACACAAGGGTATGGTAGATTTTCAAAGTTACTTTGCTTTAAATAGCTTGAAACCATTGACTGGGCATCTACGTGCATAGGCATTTTGTTTAAATGAAAAGCTGCTATCACATGTGCTGATGTCACAGCATGAGTACTGTATTGGACAAATCTTTACTCTTACATTTATATTGTATTTAGAGCATTGGCTGACCATACAAATTAAGTTCTACCAGAAGCAGTTCTATTTACAAACATAGGTATGTGATTAATTTTAAACAGCATCCTTTCTGTTTTTTGCAACTCTTTAAGGAATGCATCATGAAATCTTTTAATACTCTTGTATTTATTCCATTGTTGTGTGCAAACACAATGCTAGTGGGAGTAGATGCCGGGTGCATTGCTGCTGAGATTGTGGCTATAGTGAAGCACAATAATATATTTTTTAAATGTTAANTATATATATATATATAGTACTTAAAATAGATAATTTGTATATTTCTTTATGTATACAAATTCATACCAGTAAGCTGTAAAGGTGATTTTTTTAAATGAGTTTTTTTTTAAAAGAATGTTATGCTTTAGTTTTGTATGAAATATTTAAGAACTTTTGCATGAAGATTGTCACTCACAATTTTTAACTTTTTCAAAAATCTTAGTTTCAGGTGTGTCCCCACCCCCACTCCCCGGCTCTCTCTTTTTAAAATTAATTTTTTATATATATATATATATAGACCTATCTACCGGGTATACATATATTTCTTTTTTTTAACACCTCCAAATTGTTTGCTTTATATTTTTTAACTATTCTGTACATAATTTTCACAAAATTTTTAAATGATTAGTTTTCATCCTGTGTTGAGTAGAACACTTCCGATTTCAGCAGAATTTCAAATTGCTTTGTCGTTACTTTTTTCATTTAATGTGCCAAAATAAAACAACACGGTTTCTTCACATAATTATTAAGTTTGGTTCTGGTCGAACAACAATAACAAAAAAAATTATTCTAGTCTGTGTCACCAGGGCCGTGCTGAAAATGGTGCCGCCAGGGGTGGACAAGTGAAAATACGACTTTGGCACCCCTTGTCTTTTTCAAGTACATGGGATTTTTTTTGTTTTTTTGTGTAATTCATTATAAAAAAAGAAGATTTTGGCAATCCTCTGATTTTTAGCTCCTGGGGGAGAGTGCCCACCTTTTTTTCTTTTCCCTTGGTGCTGTGTGTCATCTTACATGCTCATAGGTTTTTATGATCTACAACGGCCTTGACTTTGACCAAATCTGACCAATGACGTTAACTTTACAGTTGTCACATGAATATTTCCTTGATACGTTGATGGAAGAGTTTTCAATAATTTCTTCAACATAAGCCGATAGCCTTTGCGCCATGTTAGACATAGCATTTTGAGTGTATTCAATCCTTGCCAGCAATACTTAAGAATTGTTTTTCTTCTATTTCTATAAAACTGTCAGTCATATATTTTGTTAGTCCTGGTGAGAAAGTAAGGAACGTTTTCTCTGTAGTTGGTAAAAAAAATTATTATTTACTCATATATTTTGTAAAAAAAAAAAATTTTAATTGAGTTTTGTCTTAATGTGTACATTTTTATCGCATTCAATATGGGTATTGATTGTAAAAGTTGATTATCGATGTACATTTTATACGAATATTTGTGTACCTTTGTTTGTATCCATATTCATTTTAATGAATCCGATTTATTTTTTTAACATTCCATGACAGCTGAATCAGTTGTTGCTATATGTCTTTCAATCATTTTAAAACTTCCATATTCACTCCGTTTTAACCATTGTGTGGTTAGCTTTTTTCAATATATGGCCTGACAAGAGTATGTATTGTAAAAGTAAAATACATGGCCTGACAAGAGTATGTATAGTACATAGTGGAGACACATATTCACCCAGTTTAACCATTGTGTGGTTACATTTTTAACTCTTTCCCTGCGGCGCAACGCACTGTGCGTTCATCCGTCGTTCTAAAGAATACGGACTAAGCGCTCTGCATTGTTTCAATATCGTGTTTGGTTTTTTGCTATTTCTCAGTTAAACTCTTTAAGAGCTATTTTTCAATAAGACTTTATTGTCTTTATTATAGAAGAGTGGTACTTTATTGTTTATAAGCGAAACCAAGGTTTATTTGTTGTCATTTGAAGCCTTATTTTAATGATATTCTCCGTTATTTTTTTCTTTTCTGTTACTTATTTTTATTTAAACTGAACAGATAAGTTTACAAACATATAGTCCATTCACTTATCTTTCATTTTATACTAAGTTTAGTCTTATAAACCAAACAGTAATATTTTAAATATTTTTAATAAATCCAATCTCTCACTCTTTTTTTGCTCTTTAAAAAAAAAGTGTACATTTTTTCTATAAAGTAATTCAGCAGCGAAAGAGTTCATACACGGCCTGACAAGAGTATGTATAGTACAGTAACAGTAAAAAACGTGGGCTGAGTATTTTTTAGTAAAGTGAAGATGATTAAAATAAACTTGTGTTCTTAAAAAAATATGAATGTATTTGTTCTTGTTACCTTGATAGCCTGTAGCTACTGAGCTTGATCCATGAGGGGGAGGGGCGATGGGTCAATGTTTGGGTTGTTGAATGTGACCATAGATTTATAAAGCTACAAATTAATTTAATTTAAAGCTTAACTAAAGTTATACTGTTTATTAAAAGAAAAATTGCTCTTCATACACAAGGTCTTCCATCATGGCCATTTGTTTGATTATCTCAATCTGGTCCTTATCATTCATCTGGTACACATTCATAAATTGTTGTGTGGCTAAACCTTTCACCTGTGAGTTCAAATGATCACGTGACCTCATGGACCTCTTGCGCCATAATGTAATCCAGAGCGTAAGAGATTCTTCCCATCTTCTAACCATCTATCATGCGAACATTTTCGCGGCCCCCCCTCCCCCCTTTTCCATTTTCCTCCCCACCCCACCCTCATATCAAACAACAAAAAATACGATGTCTTATTCGTTGAATCCACTTCCCCGTTTTGACAAGAACGGGGGAAATAGTTCTGTCACAGTGGCACCATTTGGCTTTGTATTGCGCACCTAGCGGCTCGTCGAGTGCCGGTCGGTGCGTGCTGATATAATCCCCCACTGTGGATCTTCTTCTTAAAATACAGTGCACGATAAACATAATTCAACTGAAATCTTTGGAGAAAGAGGTAAAGACTCGTATTAGTGAGACGTTGTTTAAATAAGTTGTGAGAATCCCTTTTGGCATGCCATCGAACTTTTGAACACAGACAATGGGGTTTTCCACCACATTTCATCAGCTCAGATAATCCCAATTTACTCATAGTTTACTGAATTTACTGTGGTGTTATTGAACTCATTGCTGTGCATGTTATATATTGTATAATGCATCGCATGCAAGATAAGCTTAGTCTTGTCGGACTTTCAATGATCAACTTTTAATTTTGTTTCGATTCGATGATTGCGTCTGCGGTTATCCAACAGCACATCGTACGCAGTGGCGTGGTATCATGGGCGTAGACCTACCTATAACTTGTTCATGTTAGGGGGACACCGGGTAATAGTATAGTTTTTTGTGTGTTTTTTTCCTCCACTTGTTTGGTTAGCGATCTTTGTCTGAAAACATTTTACCCGATTATAAATTACCTATAGAATATCTGAATAATTAAGGGTTATGAAAATGGTAAAATACGCCAAACTATATAGTTCATACAACTTAGGCCTATTTATAATATGATGTATATATATATATTTATATAGATGGAGTCATCGAAAGATTTAGATATATATTTTTTTTTTAAATACAGGGTGGCCCAAAAAATGTGCTAACATGGCATTTATTTAAAAAGCATAAACGAAGCCCTAAGGCTTACAAAAAGTCGTTGAGAAAGCAGGGAGAGGGGGAAGGGGGCAGACAGAACATATTTTCTGATTAGTGTAATAATTTTCACACAACTGTCAATGACAAAACAGTACATTCATTCAACTACATTACCCTTTGTTACGAGATGTTCTCACTTTTTCTGGGCCACCCTGTATATATTAATAAAGAGAACAGTATTTCGCTGCAAATTCATAAAATATAAAAGGGGATTACTCATCAAAAGAAACATTTACTGCGGATCGGTTTCTCCTTTCTGCGTGTTGGGGCCCTCCAAAGCTTTTGTACCTTTTTTCAGACCTCCCTCAGTGGCAAAAGTATGAAACTCGTTTAAGGGAGCTAAAAGGCACATGTTTCTTTATTTTTTTTATTAAATAATACCTTTTATCATATCTTTCATTTAAGGGGATTTCTCTCGTCTCTCTTTCTCTCCTCCCTCCTCTCTCTCTCTCTCTCTTCCCTCTTTCTCTCTTCTCTCGTCCTTCTTGCTCTCTTTCCTCATTCTCTCTTTCTCTCTTCCCCCTTTCTCACGTCCATCATTCTCTCTTTCCTTTTTGCTCTCTTCCCTCTTTCTCTCTTCCCTCGTTCTCTCACCCTTCTTTCTCTCTTCCCCCATTTTCTCGTTCCTCTTTCTCTCTTCCATCTTTCTCACTTGCCTCTTTCTCTCGTCCCTACTTTGACCCCTGACTGTCCCCAGTCGTCCTGGTTGCGCTACTCGTTCGGTTATGCAGGTGATGGTGTCGTACGTCCCCTCTGTGCTGTCGATCGCTGTCCAGTGATTGTTTTTGGCCCACGCCGGTCAAGCCATGCGGCGGCACGCGGCTGTCATAAGTGACCACCGCACGTGATAGCACAGGGATTAATCTTACGCAACATCTGACATAATCATCGGAGGGATGCTCGCCCCTGTAACAGTAGTGTCCAAAACTGAACTGACCTTTGGTCAGATTATCGCGGGCGATTAATGATATCGATTAATGCATCGACCCCGAGAATGCTGTCACTTGTGTTCTAGCAACATCGGTGGATCCATTGTTGACGATAGTGGGGACGGGGGGGGGGGCGGGGGGTACCCTCAATGTGGTTTAAATTCTATAGATATTAATAGTACCCACCCCTTGAAAATCCTGGTCAATAATTTATTCATTTATAATTTGCATTAATACAGACAGTGGACAAACATTGACTCCCCTAAAAAATAAAATAAATATATACAGTAAAATAATAGCCTCATCCGCCACCCACCACTTCCCCCTTTTTTCACCAACACTTCCTGCGCCTCTGCATTGAATATACTACTAACTACACGCTAATTTACAATTTCTATATCAATGTTATCTTATATAGCCTATATATGTATGTATATATATATATATATATATATATATATATATATATATATGTATATAT